AAAGTAAATTAAGACCAAAAAAAAAAAAAAAAAACCAAACCAGGAGTCCTGTTGTGGATAGTTAGAAAGTAAGCCTGAAACTCAGGAGGTGACGTTTAGGCTCACAGGAAGGATGACAAAGAAACAGCCATGGGCAGAATTGGGAGAAACACATTTTACGCAGAGGGAGCATCTCACACATTAGTATCTGTTTATTTTTATCTTTCTGTCGGTTCATCCCTGCTGAGTTCATCCCCAGTTCAAATCTAATACCACAGGGTTCATTCTAGTTTTCTTTTTTCTGTGTTTCCATCTCCAGGCTACAGTGAGAAATCTGGCTCCCATTGTCCTCAATATATTTATGTACTTATTTATTTGATTAGTTGCTCATTACCGGGACATGCCCCTATACAAATGCTCTCTTTGTCTTGCTCATGCTCTTACACGTTATTCCAGACAGACTTCCTCTTTCCTCTAGAAATACCTTCCTCAACAGTGGTGTGAAACATCTCTTATGTGGATGTCCAAGTGGCTATTTCAGTAGTTTAAACAAGAGTTTGGAGTTAGTTTAGATTAGGTTTGTAAAAGATGGTGTGGAGAGAAGTGGACAGACTTAAGATATACTTTATAGAGAAAATGGTTGGGGTTTAACTAACGGATTGGATGTGTAATGTGAGCAAAATGAAGGGGGAGAACGAAGGATGATTGTCAGGTTTCTGGCTTTCTGGTGGTTGTGACATTTGCAAAGCAGTGATTTGGGAGGAATATTTGTTTTGAATATGTTTATTTTAATTTGCCTGTGATAATTCTAAATGGAGATAGTGATAGTGATTTAGTTGCTCTGGGGTAGAGATAATATTTTGGGAGTTTTCACGGTATGTAGATGAGATTTTATACATACCGTGTATGTATATGAGTGTATAAACAAAGGAAATAGATGAGATCAACTAGAGAAGAGAAGGGAGTTTAGAACTGAGGCTAGAATGGAAAATCAAGGGATCACTAAGCCAAGAGAAAGTTGAAGACAAGGTGTGAAATAACTCATTGAATTTTCTTGATTATGTAAATTTTTTTCTTCGTATCTGTTAACATGGGTTCACACAAAGGGAAAGTTGTGTTTGTGGTTTTTGCCCAGGAAAAAGGAAAGAAACATGAAGGTCTTGTTCATAAGAACATAGTCAAGTGCTTATTGAATTACCATGAAGCTCAAGTTGAATTTAAAGACCTAGATGAAATACCTATCAACACAGGATTACTTTGGAAATGATAGAAAGAAATTGATACTAACTAACAAGTAAAAAGATGGTTTTAAGGCCTTATCATGATGACTGTCTTAAAGCATGCTATCAAGCAGAATGTTAAAAAAATAGCACTTGTTAATAATTTGTATTAGTTGTAGTAAGAACTTTCAAGTAATATAACTATAGTTCTTTCAACTATTTTGTACTTTTCGGAATTCATTAATTACTCTTGGCATGTTTTCTCTACTTCTTTTGCTCAATTTATAGTTAATTTGTATTGTTGAGGTTTTTGTAAATTGCTTTGGTTTCTGAATTGAAAAACTAGTGAATATGTCTAAAATACTTTCTCATGGTTGAAAAAGTAACTCAGGAGCTAGGAAAACAAAATTTTTTTTTTCTTGTCCAACAGCCAAAAGTTCACAACAGATATTTTGTACCACACCTTTAAAAAGTTCCCAAAGCAGGTTTTTATTTTATTTTATTTTTTCATCTATTTCTATCAGTTGGAGGCTAATTACTTCACAATACTGCAGTGGTTCCTGTCACACATTGACATGAATCAGCCATGGATTTACATGTATTCCCCATCCCGATCCCCCCTCCCACTTCCCTCTCCCAAAGCAGGTTTTTATTATACCTGACATAAAATAAGCTTTTACTTATGCAGAATACTTTTATTTTCTTTTTTAAATAAAATTAATCACAGTTAAAAGCTGAGAATCTGTGTTGAGAACTTTCTGGTTTTTTGTTTTTTAATTGTCCCTTTATACTTGTTAAAAGGGAACATAGCTTATTCCCCCAGTAAGATACAACATTTCCCCATGAAATATAGGTAGTTACACTAAACATTTCTCTTAAATTTTGTTTTTTGATGACTAGTTTTTTGTACTGTGTAAGATAGATGAATAATTTTCTTATTCTTAATATAAAGCATATGGTAGATCCATTCTTGCCATTTAATGTGACGACCATCAACTTAAAAATTTTATTCTTTTTTCAAAAGCTACTGTTTTCTCGGGGGGTGGGGAACTACTTTTTAATAAGACTGTGTTGTTTCTCAGTAGTATTAACACTTTTACAATCTTATCTCTTCAGTATATTAATACTACATATGCCAATTCAGAGAGCAGTAAAAATGCTTCAAGATTTCAATATGATAGTCATTCTAATCTTCCCTGAGAACTACTGGACTGTCTTCCATAATCTAATCTTATCCTCCTCCTCAGACAAATTACAAGTGACTAAATTGGGAAAGGAATATGTCAAGGCTGTATATTGTCACCCTGCTTATTTCACTTACATGCAGAGTGCATCATGTGAAATGCAGGGCTGGATATGAATCACGGGCTGGAATCAAGATTGCTGGGAGGAATATCAACAACCTCAGATACACAGATGATACCACTTTAGTGACAGAAAGTGGAGAAAAACTAAAGAGCCTCTTGATGAAGCTGAAAGAGGAGAGTGAAAAAACTGGCTTAAAAGTAAAAATTCAAAAAACTAAGATCATGGCATCCAGTTCTATCACTTCATGGCAAATAGATGGGGAAAATGTGGAAACAGTCAGATTTCATTTTCTTGGTCTCCAAAATCAGTGTGGATGGTGACTGCAGTTATGAAATGAAAAGACGCTTGCTCTTTGGAAGAAAAGCTATGACAGACCAAGACAGTGTATTAACAAGCAGAGGCATCACTTTGCCAACAAAAGTCCGTATAGTCAAAGCTATGGTTTTTCCAGTAGTCATGTATGGATGTGAGAGTTGGACTATTAAAGATGGTAACGACAACCCTATATGCAGGACAGCAAAAAAGACAAAGATGTAAAGAATAGACTTTTGGACTTTGGGAGAAGGTGAGGGTGGGATGATTTGAGAGAACAGCATTGAAACATGTATATTACCATATGTGAAATAGATGACCAGTCCAAATTTGATGCATGAAATAGGGAACTCATGCACTGGGACAACCCAGAGGGATGGGATTGGGGGGAGGTGGGAGGGGGTTCGGGATGGGGGGGACACATGTACACTCGTGGCTGATTCATGTTGATGTATGGCAAAAACCACCACAGTATTGTAAAGTAATTGGCCTTCAATTAAAATAAATAAATTAAAAAAATAGAAGGCTGAGCGCTGAAGAAGTGATGCTTTCGAACTGTGGTGCTGGAGAAGACTCTTGAGGGTTCCTTGGACTGCAAGATCAAACCAGTCAATCCTAAAGGAGATCAACCCTGAATATTCATTGGAAGGACTGGTGCAGAAGTGCTGGTACTTTGGCCACCTGATGCAAAGAGCTGACTCATTGGAAAAGATCCTGATTCTGGGAAAGATTGAGGGCAAGAGGAGAAGGGTGAGACAGAGGATGAGATGGTTGGATGTCATCAGCGACTCAGTAGACATGAGTTTGAGCAAGCTCAGTGAGAAAATGAAGGACAGGAGAGCCTGGCATGCTACAGTTCATGGCGTCATAAAGAGTTAGATGTGACTTGGTGACTGAACAACAGCAACAAAACAATGTGACCTTGGTCGCCAATGATGCTGGCTAATAAAAGCCACTTGGGTTTAAGCACTGAATGCAAGAGGTCTGTATCTTTGATAATAATCCTGCTGCTGGACCCCTAAAGTGAACATCATCCAAGCAGAGCAGAAAGGGCAAAGTTACTTTGGCATCCATACAGATATTTTTTAAAAACTACCAAAGTTATGTGCAGACTAAAAATTTGGACGAAAAACAATTCAACTGAAATGTTGAGAATACAGTAAGCTTTCTGTATCCACACCACTTAATTTATGACCTTGAATATCCTGAGATTTTGGTGTCTACAGGGGCCCCTGAAATCTTTCCTCTTTGAATATGGAGGAATGACTGTAGTGCATTTTGTGATATCTGTTGCTCATTTTAAGTTTAGTTTATGCAGGTAAGTTAAAGTGTTTGATGGCATGTAACTGTGATCTCTACTAAATGTAATTTATGTTTTTTTATCATTTAGGTGTTGAAAAATGTTGATTTAAAAATGTAAAATGTGTTTTTGATAAAGCTGTCTTATGCAGGTTTATATAGCAGACATTAGCTAAATATTCATAGGAGGGAAGGGGAGCTAATGTTAATTAGCTTAATATGGTGCCAAGGTACTGAGCTAAGTGTTGAATGTGTATAATTTCATCAAATCTTCATAATATTCATATAAAGTAGATATTGTTTAGATGTTTCCTTAGGTTTACAAATGAGGAAACAGGACCAGAAAGGTTAGACAGCTGTTGGTCTGTGTCTTACCCTGGTCTGTTGAATCTCAAATCAGCATTTGTTCCCATGAAACATGAATTGAACAATTCCCATGAAACATGAATTGAACAACGTTCCTGGCATTCAGGAACTCTTACTGTAAATAAGGAAATAAAATGATACATTATACTGTGGGTACTGTTTTTGTGAGGCTTTAGGAACATGAAAGTACCACTTAACTATTTGGAGAGGTTAGGGAAGGTTTTACAGTGTTGATGTTGGAGCTGAGTATTGAATGAGAATGGTTTTTGAACATGCTTTCAAGTTAATGCTGCTACTTTAAACTGTTTACAACTTGATATTTTCAGCAGTGATGAAATTAGCATGTGAGTGTTATTATGGGAACAAAAGCAATATGAGAAATATTACCTAATATACATGTGGAAAGGAGTACTGAACATAATGTATTATGTGATAGTTTTTCTTATGTTATATTGGTGACTTTTGGATGTTAAGAATTTAGTAATCCTGAGTGTAATATGATTTCTTTCACTACAGATGTCCTCCTCGCACTTTCTTACCAGCCCTCTGCAAAATTTTTCTTGATGAAAGTGCTCCAGACAATGTGTTAGAGGTAACAGCCCGTGCCATAACATACTACCTGGACGTATCTGCAGAATGCACCCGAAGGATTGTTGGGGTAGATGGAGCTATAAAAGCACTTTGCAATCGTTTGGTTGTGGTTGAACTTAACAACAGAACAAGCAGAGACTTAGCCGAACAGTGTGTAAAGGTAAGTCTTAATTATTTATTCGTACATTTGAAGATTTCTCAGAGAGTGAAAAGTACATTTTGCAAAAAAGCTTTTATTGAGAGTGGTTGAAAACAGTGGAAGTCATAGTCCCTGTGGCACATAGAGAGATCGCATATGCCTTGGGAAGGGAGATCTGTAAAGAAAAATATAGGTCACTGGTGGTGCTTTTCTGTGTTTGGTTTCTGGTAGCCACTAACCCGTTGATACCGGTTATTTCTCATGTTATCCAAAATGACTTGATATGCATGTGTTAACGACAACCGTGACAACTGACACTAATCTGCTAGGCATCATTCTAAACACTTTGCCTGTATTAACTCATTTAACTTCATGACAACTCTGTATGAGGTAGGTGCTGCTAATATCATCACTTATATTTTGTAAGTTAAAAAAATACAAGAATGGTGAGATTAAGTAACTTGCTTGGGGTGAGACAGGTAGTTAGTGACAGAGAGCCACGATTCAGTGATGAGTAATTTGAAGATTAGGAAGTCTGATTCTAGGGCCTGTGAATTTAATTATTTTGCTATACTCCTGTTAGACTTAGCTGTTTCATTTTATTCCTGATGGGGCTAATTATTAACTGTATGTAACTCTAAAAGCATCAGTACTGGTAAGTAGTTTATTGGAGCTGCTTGGTGAACATATTTAGACTTTATGTGATTCTCTTTTTTTTTTTTATTCCTAAATATTTTCATTCTTTTTATGATTCTTGCTGCTCTAGTTCAGCAATTTTCAAACTTTTTGTCTTAGGATCCCTTTATAAGTCTTAAATTATTAAGGACCCGCTAAGAGCTTTTGTTTATGTAGGTTCTGCTTGTTTCTATTTACTGTATTAGATATTAAAACAGACTTTAGAAACATTTATTCATTTATTATAAAATAACAAGCTCATTATGTGTTTACATTACATTTTAAATGAAAGTAAACCCCGAAGAAAGAGAAATTTAGTGAGAAAAGTAGCATTGTTAAGCATTTTTGTGAGTCTTGTTTGAAATGTGTGACTTATTAGAAGACAGCCAGATCCTAATATCTGCTTCTGCATTCAGCCTGTTGCTCTATCACATTTCATATAACTTTCAGAAAACTCTACCTTATGCTCCTAAAGGAATAAGAAAGAAAAAGATGATTATGGTTATAGTTTTATTATGAAAAGAAAAAAATCAGGGACCCCTGAAAATGTCTTCCCCATGCTTTGAGAGTTGTTTTTATAGTGTTAATATCTTGACTTTCTTCTCTGTGTTTATAGATGTATTTCTGTCTGTGTCTGGCCTCAGAGGAAGAGGTATCCGTTTTTTTGTTAAGAGTTTTTCCCCCTCTTGCTCACATCACTTCAGTTTTCTTCCAGAACTAGGACTTTACTCCATTGCATATATTCACTGAGCTATATTTTCAAACTTTTTCTTATCTGTTAATACCCTGCTGTCCCTTTCTCTCTTTCCTTTGCAGATTATTAATTCATTCTTCAATTCTAAAGTGGTAGTATTTCCTAAGGTTCTGTTTTTACCTTCTTAAAGCTATATATTTAAGCTTTAAGATGAGATGTTTCTATTTGCCTAGACAATCTCATCTGTGAGCATCAGTACCATTCATATATAAATATATGCCCTTTACATCTTTATCTCTAGAAGCGACTTCTCTCTCAAGTTCTAGACTCCATATTCAAAGGCCTGTTGGACATATTCACCTGGTTGCCTGAATTCATTGTCTTTCGTTACAGATAAACTCCTCTCCTGATAAGTGGCATCGACTTGTATTCGGTCACTTTAGACAGAAACCTGTACTTTATCTTTTATTTCCTTTTCTCCATTCCACACATGTAATTAATGATCAAGTGCTTTTCTAGTTTATTTTCTTCTATTTGTTCCTGCTGTTATTGCTTTGGTTAAGCCCTCATCCTTTCAGGAATATTAATGCTTGAGTTTTTGCATTTGCCTCTACACTCTTCCTTTTTCCCCCAGTTATTAACTGGAAATCCCATCATATTTCGCTGCTTAAAACATTTTTCTTGCTTATAGAAAAAACTCTGAATTTCTGGTATGCTGTAGGAACTATGGACCCTAGTTCTAGTTCTACCTGAACATATTAAATAGCATATAATTTAGAAAATGTGATTTTTGTTTATTTGTGTTTAAATGTTTATTTATTTATTTGGCTGCTCTGGGTCTTTTAGGTGTGGGACCCTTACTTGCAGCCTGCAAAACGCTGTGGTTGCAGCATGTGGTATCTAGTTCTCTGACCAGGGAACTTGGTGCCCCCTGCATTGGGAGTGTGAAGTTTTAGCCAGTGGATCACAGAGAAGTTCCAAAAAGTGATTTTTAAAAAAATTATTAAAAAAATTTTTTTACAGTGAAGCAAGTAAGGTGTTTATTAGGAGGAAGAAGAGTACAGTACTTGTGGATAGACACGTGGGTGGGCTCAGAGAAACTTGCCCAAAAAGTGATTTTTAATGTCTTAATATTCATAGAGTGTGTGTGAAGATAATGAATAATGTAATAGTTGGCGTTTATTGATTTGTTTTTTTAATGTCTAGCACGTTTATAGACTTTTGCTAAATTACTTGTAGTTCTTAGCTTGCCATGCAGGTTTTACTACCTAAACCTATGCTGTCTAATATGGTAGCTGTATGTGACTGTTGAACACTTCAGATTTGGCTACCCCAAATTAAGGTGTGTTAAGTATAAAATATACATGGGTTTTTGAAGACTAAATGCACAAAAGATACCAATAGTTTTTATATTGATTACATGTTGAAATAATGACACCTTGGACATACTGTGCTAAATAAAATATATTAAAATAAATTTATTCTGTTTTGCTTCACTTTTTTTTTTTTAATGAAAGGTTAAGCGTGTACAACAGGCTCCAAGACTTCATTCTAGCTATTGGTAGCAGCATTGTATGGTAGGGAATCCAGATGTTTAAATAAGAATGGAATTAAAGATCACCATTGCCTCAGGCACAAGGGACAGCTTTTTGCCCAATTTCTTAATTCCACCTGTGGCCAGGGGGCTCTTTTCACAGCCTTTGCTTTTAGCTCCTTGAGTTTCTTCTGTTTTAATTTCTGTTTCAACTTGAATGCCTTATCTTCCCTGTCCATCTTGGTCACCTTCTTGGGCTATTTCAGGGACTACTTCTTGCCATCTTCACAGCCAGATATGGCTCCTGCCCCTCACACCCACCCTTTCTCAGACCCTGCCCTTACTTTCTAAAATGTGACTACTAATACATTTGGAGGGTGTATCATGTCCTCTGTAATTCTTGAAAATGAACATTGGACTTACTGTATTTTCTGTTAATTTTATTTTACCGTAGGTTTTAGAATTAATCTGCACTCGTGAGTCAGGAGCAGTCTTCGAGGCTGGTGGTTTGAATTGTGTGCTTACCTTCATTCGTGACAGTGGACACCTGGTTCATAAAGACACCCTGCACTCTGCCATGGCTGTGGTGTCAAGACTCTGTGGCAAAATGGAACCTCAGGATTCTTCTTTAGAAATTTGTGTAGAATCTCTGTCTAGTTTATTAAAACACGAAGATCATCAGGTAATTAAATAGCTTCTGTGTACTTTATTTTCAAAAAGCAATTTTATAGTGTCCACTGGCTATAACTATGGTATAAAGTTGACCCTTGAACAACCCGGGGGTTAGAAGTGCTGATCCTCTGCACAGTTGGAAATGTGCTTATAACTTTATAGTCTGCCATCCCTATCTGGGGTTCCAAAGCTATGGATTCAGCCAACTATAGATTGTGTAGTTCTGTAGTATGAATTTAGTGGGGAAAAATATCCACATATAAGTGGGCCCGTGCAGTTCAAACTCATGTTGTTTAAGGGTCAACCTTAGTGTAATTGGAACTTTTTATTTGATGAGGTAAAGATAATTTCTCTTTCCCTCATCTTCTATCTCATTTTATATTTCTATACACTAATCTTTTTGTTTGTTTGTTTTGGCAGTGAGACATTTTAAATTATAAAAGTGGCATGGGTTTATTCTTAAGATTTAAACATTTTAGAAATATATTATTTCTAAAGCTACACTTAATACCCAGTGAAATTTGTTGGCTCAGCACAATTTTGCTCACTTAAAAGGGTAGTTTTCATTCAAGTAAAACAGCAGTTTTAAAAATTTTAAATGTATAAATTTTTGTTAAATTATCATCTTTAGAAAATAAAACTTGACTTTTAGTGCCTTTTTACCATTTTGATGTTAATTATTTTCCATTGCTATTCATCAGTTATCTTGGCCTAGTTATGTGTAATAATAGTAAAGATTTATTGAGCTTTTTACTGTTAGTCTAGTTTCTTAACATGTATCATCTCTTTTGAGCTCATACAATGAGTTATAGGTACTATTACTATTCCCATTTTGCAGGTAAGAGAATTGAGGAACAGTTAAGTAATATCCTCAGGTTATAGAGTTACCAGAATGAGGAGCCAAGATTCACATCTAGACTGGTGGTGTCCTTTGCTGCAGTTGCTTTTCTTAATAGTTCACTGTTGAAGTAAATAGTACTAGTCCTTTTTAAGTGAATTTTATTCACATTTATATTCTGTACATCATCAGGTTTCAGATGGAGCTCTGCGATGTTTTGCGTCACTAGCTGACCGATTTACCCGTCGTGGTGTTGACCCAGCTCCATTAGCCAAGCATGGATTAACTGAAGAGCTGTTATCTAGAATGGCTGCTGCTGGGGGTACTATATCAGGGCCATCATCAGCTTGCAAACCCAGTCGCAGCACCGCAGGAGCACCTTCCACAGCTGCAGATTCCAAACTGAGTAACCAGGTGTCAACAATTGTAAGTCTGCTCTCAACACTTTGCAGAGGCTCTCCAGTAGTAACGCACGTAAGAGTGGTTTTGAATCTTATTTAATCTCTTCAAAGAAGTGTCTTTGTATAATGAGAATAGATTAAAACTTTTTTCTCTCCCATTCTCTTTTTAGGATCTCCTGAGGTCAGAGCTTCCAGATTCAATTGAAAGTGCATTGCAGGGTGATGAAAGATGTGTGCTTGATACCATGCGTTTGGTTGACCTTCTCTTGGTGCTATTATTTGAAGGACGAAAGGCTTTGCCAAAATCTAGTGCTGGATCCACCGGCAGAATCCCAGGACTTCGGAGATTGGATAGTTCTGGGGAGCGCTCACATCGGCAGCTTATTGACTGTATTCGAAGTAAAGATACCGACGCCCTTATAGATGCAATCGACACAGGAGGTTTGAAAATATTTTTTAAAATATAAAAAGAAAACTGAGATAAGGAATTATTTTTAATTTCTAGGCTTTTTTTTTTTTAATTTTTAAAAACTTTTATCGGTTGTGTCAGAAAACAGAATGGCCAACGCCTTCCATATCTCCTCTCCCTGTGTATATAAATGATCAGTCTGGTGCATGGTAAGATCTGAATAAATGCTTTTTGAATGAGTAAATGAAATTAACCTGTTTTATTGCCAGAAGGAAGTCATACCAATTCTAAGGTTAAGTGCAGATTGAACTGAGGGCTGTTGTTTTCTTAGGATTAATGGAAACTGACCCAAGTGAATTTTCATGATATATAGTACATTTTTTTAGATTGCTTCATGAGCAATCAGCAAATATAAGCTGGTGAAGGATACTAATGGGGGACTTCCTTGACAGTCTGGTGGTTAATACTCTGCTCCTGTTGCAGGGGGCACTGATTTGGTCCCTGGGGTAGGGAACTAAGATCCTGAATGCTTCACAGCATGAAAGTGAAAAGTGAAAGTATTCATCACTCAGTCGTGTCTGACTCTTTTGTGACCCCATGGACTGTAGCATCTGTCCATGGAATTCTCCAGGCAAGAATGCTGGAGTGGATTGCCATTCCCTTCTCCAGGGGATCTTCCTGACCCAGGGATCGAACCTGGGTCTCCCACATTGCAGGCAGATTCTTTACCATCTGAGCCATCAGCATGGGGAAAATAAGTAAATAGAGAGATGTTATAATAAAAAGAAAAGATCTTCTGGGTCATCAGACTTTTGTTTTGAGTATAGATGTGGTTTAGCTTCTTTTCCTCAGTTACAGCATGAGGCAACTGATACTCTCTAGTTTTATTGATTATTTAGTTTTTTTATTTCTTATGTTTATTTTTAAGGCTTATAGCCTTAGAGTCTTGTGAATCCCCAGTAATTTAAAAATTTTGGAATACTTTTTCTTAGCAGAATTTATGTTTGCTGATTATTTACTACTATATAATTGACCTAAATATTTAAAATTGGCTATTTAGTGATTATTAATAACAGTTAATAATACTCTTTAAATGGTTCCCACTTTAGAAAAGTTTGTTATTATTTTGTTGCCTTTAAAAAAGATTTATTTTTTCCTTTAAACTTTCAGCCTTTGAAGTAAATTTTATGGATGATGTAGGTCAAACTCTATTAAACTGGGCTTCTGCATTTGGAACTCAGGAAATGGTAAGCTAATAAATAGTAAAAGTTAATGTTTTAAATCAAAGAGAAATGTTAATAAGGCAACTTTATGATTCTCCATTATTTTACAGGTAGAATTTCTTTGTGAAAGAGGTGCTGATGTTAATAGAGGTCAAAGGTCATCATCATTACATTATGCTGCATGTTTTGGAAGACCTCAAGTAGCAAAGGTAAAATCCAGGGTTTTTAATTATTAATTTAATATTTAATATTTACATTGTTCTAAAATTAGAATAATATAAAAACTTTTATTTGGAGAAGCCATACTTACATACTCTCTTCATTCCCTCCATTTTCCCTGGCCCTCTATAGGTAAGCATTTTTTATTTTAATCTTTTCATTGTTTTTTTAATACAGGTACAAGCAAAAATATTTTAAAATATTTTTTTAAAATAAAAAATGTAACATATATACTGATCTATACTTTGCTTTTTTCCTTTAAAAATATAAATTGTTAGTATTTAATTATTGTTTAATGATACACTAGCTTCCCTGGTGGTTCAGATGGTGAAGAATCCTCCTGCAGGGCTCAGATGGTAAAGATTGAACCCAGGTTCGATCCCTGGGTTGGGAAGATCCTTGGAAAAGGGAATGGCTTCCCACTCCAGTATTTTTGCCTGGAGAATCCTATGGACAAGGAGTCTGGTGAGCTACCATACGTGGGGTCGCAAAGAGTCAGACACAGCTAAGTGACTAAGTGCATATGCAATACACATTGAGACCTCTCCCTGTTAGTATATAGAGATCTTTTTTTACATCTGTATACTTAACCTGTACAAATGTATCCAGCTAGTCAGCTATTGCTGAAAACTTGTTTTTCCCCCCAATTTCTTTCTCCTGGTAATGAATAGCTTTATACATATTTCTGTTATTTCTGTTTATCAATCTAGCAGATACTCTGTTTGCAGAAGAATTGTAATAGCTGTGATTCTTACATTAGCAAAGGACTTTTGTCGTTCAGTTACTCAGTTGTGTTTGACTCTGCGACCCCATGGACTGCAACACACCAGGCTTCCCTGTTCTTCGCCATCTCCCGGAGTTTGCTCAAATCTGTTTTTTACATTTGTTCCTTTGTTTTATTTTTTAGATTCTTTGCATAAGTGAGATCATACAGTATTTATTTTTGTATGTCCAACTTATTTCACTTAGCACAATACCCTCAAAGGTCCATGTATGTTATCACAAATGGTAAGATTTCATTCTCTTTTATGACTGAGTAATATTTCATTGTATATGTATATACACCATGGATCTCAGTTCCCGAACCAGATATCAAACCTGTGCCACCTGCAATGGAAGTGCAGAATCTTAACCATTGGACCACCAGGGAAGTCCCTTCTAGCATTATCATTGTGATTAGAAAAAAATACATGAGAAGCACTTAGTATAGTAGTTGGCACATTGTATGTAGACACTTAAATGGTAGCTGCCATTATTGTTATGTTTATGTTGTTAAGAAATGTTAATAACTTAGCCTTCTAGGTGATCTCTTCACACTCAACTTCTGTCAGTTTGAATTGGTTAATTTTTAGAGGTAATGATATTTCTAAGGGTAGTAAAAAATTTTATTGAAAACTTTTTTTTTTTGAACCCATGCTGTTTTTAAGTTATAGGTATCTGAGCGGGAGAAAGAACCAAATAAATTGTACCTAATCTTAACCTATTTTGGTTATGTATTAGCCCACAATGAACTATAGCTGCCATTACTAATAATGATATAATAGGTACTCATTAAACACTTATTCTTTACCAGCCAGGGTCTTAAGCATTTAACATGTTGTATCATTCTTTTGGAGAAGGAAATGGCAGCCCATTCCAGTACTCTTGCCTGGAAAATTCTCTTGTTGCGTGAGCCTGGTAGGCTACAGTCCATGGGGTCACAAAGAGTTGGACTCAACTGAACAACTTCACTTTCTTTCTTTCTTTCTTTAGTTGCTTTTGGAGAAGGAAGTGGCAGTCCACTCCAGTGTTCTTGCCTGGAGAAGCCCATGGACAGTGGGGCCTGGTGGTCTTCAGTCTATGGGGTTGCAAAGAGTTGGACACGACTAAGCAGATAGCACACACACACATCATTCTTCACAGGTTCTTCTGTTTTTTAATTGATTCCAAGATACTACCTCCCACCATACACATTTCAACATCTTTTAAATTGGAAAGTCTTAGAATTGGTGTTGGCCAGATAGAAGTTAACAAGCGTAGTTACTATTACCTGTCCATGCAACAAAAATTGTGGAATGGATTTTAGTAACTTGGGTGAAAAATCCTATCTGCTAGGACACTCTTAGAAACTCTGTGTCACTAAACTCTTTATGGCACAGATGACAGCATTCTCTGGTGTACAGACTGAATACTAGTACCTCTCTTAAAGTAAAGAAATTGAGAGGAGAGGCTTGATGGGGAACATGACAGGTTCAGATGTGAACATACTTAATTTGAGATGTTAATAAATAACCAACTGAAATTAATCTATACTTTTTTCAAGATATAAACAAACAACTTTAGAGTGTTGTGTGCAAAGGCAGAGATTTGAATTGATAACCTGCTTGATTAAGTAATTCTGTAAGTCTGCATTCTGAAGTATGTGGATGCAATTGAAGGTCGCAGAACTGTACATTGAAGAAATAAGGTGTTGATCATTAAATCCATGTTAAATGCTTTTCCTTTCTAGACTCTCTTACGGCATGGTGCAAATCCAGATCTGAGAGATGAAGATGGAAAAACTCCATTAGATAAAGCTCGGGAAAGGGGCCATAGTGAAGTAGTAGCTATTCTTCAGTCTCCAGGTGAGTAGTAGTATCTTTCCTTTTATGCCATCTGCTATTACTTTTCAGGTTCACTACCATAAAAATAGCTTTTTGTAGACAAATGAACTCCCTTATATAAAGAAATAATTTTCTTGAAGTAAAGTGATTTTATACACACGCTCTTATATTTGACAAATCTATACCAGTGTACTGTTCTGTGTTCTTTGAGACTGTGGCTGCATGATTCCAAAAAGACCAAATCACAAGTTTAAGGGTGTGGGAATGTCATAAAGAATAGTTGGTTATTGTGTAGACAAAATACTTTGACCAAACATTTAAATTTTCACAAAGTAGATGAATGCAGAGTCTGTGAAATATTTTTGGAATTTTTCATAGTGTCGCAAAGAGTCGGACATGACTGAGCGACTGAACTGAGAGTATCCAAAATTATCTCCTTAAGTTGTGATTCAACCCATTGGAGGTACTAATGTTCTTTAGTATTTTTATGAACATCTTTGATAGATACAGTGTGCTAATTTGATTATTGTTAATTAGGATAGCTATCATTGAGTACATTTTAATATTTTTTCCCTGAAAAATTTTCCCAAAAATGCATTTTATTGAACGATATTTGTCTATAGGTGATTGGATGTGTCCAGTTAATAAAGGAGATGATAAGAAAAAGAAAGATACAAACAAAGATGAAGAAGAATGTAATGAGCCGAAAGGAGATCCAGAAATGGCACCTATTTACTTGAAAAGGTTACTGCCAGTATTCGCACAAACATTTCAACAGACTATGCTGCCTTCAATAAGGTAGTTATTCATACTGTTTGTGTTTACTATTTATGTAGTTTTATCTATCTCCCTTTTCCAGAAGAATGTGACATTATTTTAATATTGAAAACGTATGGTAAGAATAAAAATTAGATTGGAGAATTAAATCTTTCCTTCTGATGATCTGACTTAAGAGAAGTAGTTTAGAAAATCAAGAAAACTAACCTAACACAATTTTTGTAACTCTCTGAATATCAACTCTAGAGAAAATTTTTAAGTACAGATAACATTTATTGAGCTTTACAGAGGACATTTTGACAGAGTCAGTGTAAACGGGCCACTAGAGAAGTTACCCAAAGAATTAGGACTTGGCCCTCTTTACACTTGCAAGCTAGTAAGGAAGACATGAGTAATAATACAGAGTGGTAAGTGGTAGATTATATTCCCTGGGGACATAAATGGTTTAACAACTAATTGGCTGGGCAACTTGGAGATTTTATGCAGAAATGAGATTTAAGTTGGGGTTTAAAGGATATTTGGAAGTTTTCTCGGGAGATAGATTTAGAAGGGTCGGTGAACAAGAATATGTACACAGGCATGAAGTTTTGGGTCATTTCATCCTGATGTGGGTCCTGGTGGCTCTCCCACTACGGTGTGTCCAGAGTCTGCCACGTTTGTCCATCTGTTGCTAATACTCCGGTCCAAGGTACCATAGTCTGTAGTTTGGCTGCTATAGTTGCCTCTTACCTAGTCTTTCTCTTCTTTTTCTCTCTTGTCCCGCTACAGTCTGTTCCTACATATTAGAATTCATTTTTAAATCATGTCACATGACCTGATTTAAACCCTCCAGTAGCTTCTTCTTGTTTTAGTCACTAAGCCATGTCTGACTCTTCTGCAACCCCATGGACTGTAGCCTGCCAGGCTCCTCTGTCCGTGGGATTCTCCAGGCAAAAACACTGGAGTGGGTTGACATTTCCTTCTCCAGGGATCTTCCCAACCTAGGGATTGAACTTGCATCTCCTGCTTGGCAGGCGGATTCTTTTCTGCTGAGCCACCTGGAAAGCCAAGTAGTTTTTAGTTGGCCTTAAATAAAACCTCACTCCTTAACAGTCAGGCTTGGAAGGTGTCTTGTTTAAGTCCCAATCAGCTCTCTGACCTCATTTAGTACTATCTAAACACTAGTCTATTGCACTTAAACTATGCTAACCTTCTTTCTGTTTTTGAAACTTTCTATGTACATTCTTCCTTTGAGGCTTTTGCACTTACCTTTCTTTGTTGGAGACTTTTCAGTCTCCAGAGCTTTCGAATGGTGGGTTGCTTCATTCAGGTCTCAGTTCAAATGCTTATGTCCAGTGACAGCTATCTACCCAATTTAAATTTACCCCTAAGACATCATAATATTTTATTGTCTTCACAGAGTTTACACTGTCTGAAATCTTGATCTTTGAGCTTTTTGTTTTATTCTCTGTCTCCACTCTAAAGCTGTGTTTAAGTGATACAAGGCAGTATTTGTCTTTCTCTGGCTTATTCACTTAGCACAGTGCTCTTGAGGTCCATTCATGTTGTCACTTAATAGATTTTTTAAAAAAATCAGTTTGCCAAGTCTGGATTCCATACTGATGCACATTCAGTATGTATGAAAATGTATAGACTCCTGGATCAAAGAATCCCTCTACTGAAGAAATAAAACTGCTCCCCCCCAAAACACTATTTATTTTATTGATTGAAAAGCCTGTAAGCTAATGCTCACAATTTATTTAATAGTGTTAAACAGGAAAATTTTATGTTATGTATATTATGCATGGTGAATTGGTTAAGAGATGAGTTTGAGTTGAGGCTCTAATTTATTAGCTCTCTGACCTTAGTAGACTTACCTTTCTTTATGTCTTTTTTTTTATCTGTAAAACTGAGCTATTAAAACTACTTCATGGGATTTGTTAGATAGATTAAATGACATGCAAAGTTTTTAAAGTACATACAAGTGTTCCTGGCTCATAATGACTCAGCGTGATAGTAGCCAGATAGGTAAACAACATGTGAACATTCCTATGTTATTTTAATTGAGATAAATCAAAACATAAAACTATTGTACGTAAATACTGATTCTACATCCATATATACATAGCTGTTAACAGACACTAGAGGAAACTGATCCAGTTAGGCCAGTTTGTCCTCCTTTTGCCTACTGTATTCTATTACGTACTTGAATTTGTAATAAAGGATATTTTAAATTTAAGGAATGCATAGTGTTACGAAATGCACCTAGGGAGAGTTGTGAAATACATGAAGGCCACATTCTGAGGGAATACAGCTGCATCAGATGCCTCTCTTAGATCCTGGTAGTGATTTTTGCCTCTCCATCCTTTCTGTGGAGAAGACACTTCAAGGGCAGTGATATTTATAGCTTGGTGCCCAGACTATTGCTAGATGTCTGGCAATAGACATCAGAAAACATATGTTAAATGAATTACTAACTTTTATATAATAGACCAGTGTATTACCACTTTGATGTCTGTGGTTATGTGTGTCTTCTATTTTAAAAGAACAAATTGCTTATTATAAAGTTGAGGTTAGTTTATGTGACATTATTGAGTATCTCCTATGCTGTGAGCAAAGCAGTAGATAAATAGAAGGGAAAGGAGGCATGCAAGTTGTTAACAATGGGAATATTTGAGGGCATGGGATTATTAGGATCTCATTTAGAGAATATAGTTATAATGAACATTCTTAAGTTTGACAAAGCACAAAAATGCTTAATTAAAAATTTTATTTCAATATAAACCATCAGGTGTTTTAAGAGTTTTGTATTTGGAGTTATAGACACCATTTATCAGTAATTGTGCTATTTTTGATTTTCTAAAATTATCATGGAATGTTAGCAATAATGCTGGTTAAATATGACATACATAGCACATGTAAGTAAATTACAAAAATGATTTGTTTTAATGAGCTCAATGAATAATAAAAAATGAAATTACCTCGAAAATGAATGTGTACCTAGTTTTAGTATTGTCTTAGTTTGTTTTTGTATTTTAAAAAAATTTTTTATTGGAGTATAGTTGATTTACAATGTTGTATTAGTTTCTGCTGTAGAGCAAAGTGAGTCAGTTATATAAACATATATCCACTTTTAAAAAATATTATTTTCCCATATAGGTCATTACATAGTACTGAATAGAGTTCCCTGTGCTATTCAGTAGGTTCTTACTAATAGTATTCTTATATTAAGTATATTTTTAGCAGACTGTTTAAAACTTAAGTTGGATATTTTAATTTTAACTTTTTTTTTTTTTTAATTTTAGCTTCTTATCATGGGTACCTAAAAGTCCTTTTTTTTTTTTTTTTTTGACTTTTCAAGGAAAGCAAGTCTTGCTCTGATTCGAAAAATGATTCATTTCTGCTCTGAAGCACTCTTAAAAGAAGTTTGTGATTCTGATGTTGGTCACAATTTGCCTACAATACTAGTGGAAATCACTGCAACTGTTCTGGATCAAGAGGTAAGTTTATTGTCTTTTTGAAACTTCTATAGTTTTAATTTCATTAAATAGTAGTAAAATTACTTGCATCCTAATTTTATTAAATCATTTTGTCTGTGCAAATGAGTGCATTTGTCTATTCCATGCAGCTAAGGTTATTTTTACCATCTTCTTTTAATTTCCTTCTTTTTCTCCCCAGGATGATGATGATGGCCACTTGCTGGCTTTGCAAATCATAAGGGATTTAGTAGATAAAGGTGGCGATATATTTTTGGATCAGCTAGCCAGACTTGGTGTCATTAGCAAAGTGTCCACTTTGGCAGGTCCTTCCTCTGATGATGAGAACGAAGAGGAATCAAAACCAGAAAAAGTGAGTGGTGTTGATTGCAGTGGTATCTATTAGGAATAGGGTTTTTGTTTATTGTTTTAATTAGTTGAAGGCTAATTATTTTACATTATTGTAGTGGTTTTTGCCATACATTGACATGAATCAGCCATGGATTTACATGTGTTCCCCATCCTGAACCCCCCTCCCATCCCATCCCTCTGTACCAGCCCCGAGCACTTGTCTCGTGCATCCAACTGGGACTGGCGATCTGTTTCACCCTTGATAATATACATGTTTCGATGCTGTTCTCTCAGATCATCCCACCCTCACCTTCTCCCATAGAGTCCAAAAGTCTGTTCTATACATCTATCTCTTTTTCTGTCTTACATATAGGGTTATCATTACCATCTTTCTAAATTCCATATATGTGCATTAGTATACTGTATTGGTGTTTATCTTTCTGGCTTACTTCACTCTGTATAATGGGCTCCAGTTTCATCCATTTCATTAGAACTGATTCAAATGTATTCTTTTTAATGGCTGAGTAATATTCCATTCTGTATATGTACCATAGCTTTCTCATCCATTTGTCTACTGACGGGCATCTAGGTTGCTTCCATGTCCTGGCTGTTATAAACAGTGCTGCAATGAGCATTGGGGTACACATGTCTCTTTCAGTTCTGGTTTCCTTGATGTGTATGCCCAGGAGTGGGATTGCTGGGTCATATGGCAGTTCTATTTCCAGTTTTTTAAGGAATCTCCACACTGTTCTCCATAGTGGTTGTACTAGTTTGCATTCCCACCAACAGTGTAAGAGGGTTCCCTTTTTTCCACACCCTCTCCAGCATTCTTGCTTGTATACTTTTGAGGAGTAGGGTTTCTTTTGAAGAAATGTAGTTCCAATTATGATGGCTTTTGACAATTTGACAAAATAATGGCATTGTGGAGTCATACTGTAGTTTTTAAAAATTTGGTCACTTTTCTTTTAAAATGTATCATTGATAAAACTTGCAAAGAAGTTGAAAATAAAGAATATCAGGACATTCTTTATCCAAAATCACTAATTACTAACATTTTGCCCTATTTGCTTAATTACTTACAAAGACAACGTGTGTGCATGCTCATTTAAAATATATTGTTTGAGGGAATTTTGTGGTGGTCCAATGGTTGGGACTTTGCGCTTTTACTACTTAGTGCTGCATTCAATTCTTGGTCAGGGAACTAAGATCCCACAAGCTACTCAGCATGGCCGGAAATAAAAATAAATAGATAGAATAAAATAAAATATATTATTTAAGAGAAATAGGATAGATCGTGTCCCTTTTTATACCTAAATTCTTCACCACAAAACCAGGACATTGTCTCATATAATCCTAGTATAGTTATCAAAATCTGGAAATTTAATATTTATAAAAAAATATTATCTAATCCAGAGACTTATTCTAATTTGCTGTTGTCTCTAATAGCAAACCCCTTCTGCGCCTACAACCTTCCTACCTCTCCACCTCATACTTCTAGAATCCAGTCCAGGAGCACATAACCTTTAGTAATCATGTTGTTCTATTTCTCAGCTTTCTTTCTTATAGCCCTGGCATGTTTTTGAGGAGCAGAGATCACTTAATTTGGGCAATGACCCTTACATTGTGTTTGTGCCATGTTTCTTCATGATTTCTTCTTCAAGTTGTGTGTTTTTAGCAGAAAGGCTATAGCGGTGATGTTACGGTGATTTTGGTGTAAAATATGCCTTCTAAGAGGCATATGATATCTGTTTGCTCTCCTGCTGATGGTTAACTTGGGTCAGTTTGTCACGTTTGTCTCTGCCAGGTTTCTGTATTGTAAAGATACTTTTTCCTTTTGTAATTAGTAAGTAATTTATGGGAGATAATTTGAGACTGGGGAGATATGCTGTTTCTCATTAAATTTTTATGCACTAGTTGCAGTACCTATTGATAATTCTTGATTTAGGTCACGTATCAAAAAATACACCTTATCTATCTCTACCAAGTGCCAGCAAGGGTTAAGTCCTGCCATTTATTGAATGCTACCTAAGTATTAGCTACTGAGTAATACTATTTTTGACAGAATGATAGAGTATGGATTGTAGTTGCAGAATCCTTCCTGGTTAAGGATGAATGTGTGTATTTCCTAAATTACTGGACATTTAACAAAAACCAAATAAGAAGTGTTATCTGAGTTCATCCCTTTGGAATTCTTTCAAAAGATAGGTTACAGATTCCAGCAGTCTTTGTAGAAATTAACAAACAAATGCTAACATTTATATGAAAATTATGCTACTGCTGCTGCTGCTGTCACTTCAGTTGTGTTCGACTCTGTGTGACCCCAAAGACGGCAGCCCACCAGGCTCCCCCGTCCCTGGGATTCTCCAGGCAAAAACACTGGAGTGGGTTGCCATTTCCTTCTGCATTGTGTGAAAGGGAAAAGGGAAAGTGAAGTCGCTCAGTCGTGTCCGACTCTTGGCGACCCCATGGACCTCAGCCTACCAAGCTCCTCCATCCATTTGATTTTCCAGGCAAGAGTACTGGAGTGTGGGGTGCCATTGCCTTCTCTGATATGAAAATTATAGGAACCTAGAATAGCCAAAGTATCCTTTGAAAGAAAGCTGTAGTAACTAAGAAAGTGTGCTAGTGGTGTAAAAATAGATACATATATGGTCAGTTGTTCAAACAAGTACTAAGGTAATTCCGTCAGGAAAGGGTGATCTCTTAAAAATTACACTTGAACAAGTGGATAACATATGCAGAAATATGAAATCTCGCCCCTTTTAACAGAGAATAAATCATGAACTAACATTTATGGACTAAAACTATAAGGCTTCTAGAGGAAAAAGAAGAAAATCTTAGTGACCTTGAGTCTGCCAGAGGTTTCTTAGATAGGACATTAAAAGGTTATTTTATAAGAGAACAACAAGAAAACATCAGTAAATTGTTTTCATTAAAATTAAACTTTTATTCTTCAAAATACATTATTTAGAAAATGACAAGACAGGCCAGAAAATTCTTAGAAATTTTGTCTGAAAATATCTTTTTTTTTGGCCATGCTGCTTTGCCTGTGGGATCTTAGTTCCCCAATCAGGGATCAAACCTGTGGCCCCTGTTGTGGCAGCTTGGAGTCCTAACCACTGGACTGATTTTGCCCCCCTATTTTTTTCAGCTGTCTGAATCTTGGTTGCTGTGCGCATGGTCTTTTCTAGTTGGAGTATTGGGCGTCTCTTCCTGCCATACGTGGTCTCATTGCAGTGGCTTCTCTTATTGTAGAGCACGGGCTCTAGGGTGTGTGAGCTCAGCAGTTATGGCGAACGGACTTAGTTGCTCTGTCTTCCTGGACCAGGGTTCAAACCTGTGTCCCCTGCATTGGCAGGTGGATTCCTAACCACTGGACCACCAGAGAAGTCCTGGCCTTGATTCTTAATGGACATGTTCAGTGCCTGCAGGGATTCCTGCCCAGCCATTTTTCTAGTACTTGAAGAGATACTCCATTGTCACTGGATGTGCGTAGTGTTATATACTGTTAAGTTTGCCTTAGTTTTTCATCTTGTTCCTTTGTGTGTATTGAATCTTTTCTTCCTCTGGCTATTCTTAAGACTTTGTAACTTGTTTTTAGCAATCTGTCTTTCATGTGCTTAGCTGTGTTTAGCTTGTATGTGTGCATGCACATGTGGGAGTCTGCCCCGGCTCAGGATTATTTAATTTTCTCTGCTCTGTGGGCTTACAGTTATCAGATTTGGAAAAAGTGTCAACTATTGGTATGAGGATTTTCCACTCTGGCTGTTTGGAATGCAAACGTATGATCACCCTGTGTGACCTCTGAATTTTCCAGCTTATTGTTTTCAAATCGTTCTTTGCCCAGCCTTATGTGTAACATCACCTGTACACAGGTGGTCTGATACTCGGTAGAGATGTCCTGGAGACCACTTTGCACATTTCTAGAGGTCTTTTTTGCTTGACTCCCTGATCCTGAACTCATCTACCATGAGTATTCAAAGACAGATTTCCTTACACTGCTGAACTCTCTGTTCCCTTTTCTTAAAACCTTAACCAGAAAACTGTCTGAGCCTAAGGGGCTTACCTTATTTGTTACTGTTTTCTAGGAGATCACGCAATCCTGTGTTGCTTGTTGTCCAGTATCTGAAAACACTTTTTCATATTTTTGTCTGGTTTTTAATTTGTTTACAATGGATAGTCAAGTCTTAATCCTTATTAATCTACCATGTTCTGGAGCACAAGTACTTATATTAGAGAAATTTATAATCCATATTTTGCAATCTTATTTCAGTGTTATAAACTACTGCTCCTTCAGGGAAGAAACATGTGAAAGATGCATTAAAATTTTTTTTTTGATATTGTTTATTTGGCTGTGTCGGGTCTTCATTATGGCACACTGGCTCTTTGTTGCATCATGCAGGATCTTTCATTGAGGTGCACGTACTTTAGTTGAGGTGCTCACACTCTGTAGCATGGAGGCTCAGTAGCTATGGCATGGGCTTAGTTGCTCCATGGCATGTGGGATCCTGATGGCATGTGGGTTCCCTGATTGCAGAACTAGGATGGAACCAAATTCCCTGCATTGGAAGGCAGATTCTTAACCACTGGACCATCAGGGAAGTCCCTTAAAGTCTTTTTAAGTATAGTAAGTCTATAAAACTTTAAAAATACTTTACCTATACATGCATATATGCACACACTTGCCAAGATCATATGTTAATGATGAATATTCTTAATATTTAATTGTTATCAACAAAATCAAAACTTTTAGGATGCCAGGCTAGTCAAACAGTGTTTACAAATTATTATAGTTTTTAAAATGTGTTATAACTAACATTTTTATCATTATAGGAATGATCCAGTACCTTTGATTCACTTGGCTAAGGGTGGGGCCTTATAGTTTATTGATAAAACACATCTCTGGTGGTTTTTTCACACTGCTAGGTTTGGATACCATTGATTTAGTGTAAACATGCATTTTTTTTTACAAATAATCTCTTAGGCCCAGGGACACGGTGAGTTTATCAAATCATAGATAGTTTGGTAATTGTGTTTAGAGCTAATCCATTTGTTTTTTTTACCCATATACCTGGAAATGTCATAACTTAGGTCATGTGAATTTCTTAACCATTTTTAAGATGGACTTGTAAGATTATAGATAATTAGTTGAATCATAATACATGTTAAACTATAGGCAGATGAATATTATATTCAGGATGTTTTAATTCTAAATTTGGTTTATGGTCATGTTTTTATAAATACTTACAAATATTTGAAATATAAATTATTTTCCACATTTCATTGAATAATTTTACACATTCAGGAAGATGAACCACAGGAAGATGCTAAAGAATTGCAGCAAGGTAAACCGTACCATTGGAGAGATTGGTCCATCATTAGGGGAAGGGACTGCTTGTATATATGGAGTGATGCAGCAGCCTTGGAGTTGTCTAATGGCAGTAATGGATGGTTCAGATTTATCTTGGATGGAAAACTTGCCACCATGTATTCAAGTGGTAGTCCCGAAGGTGGATCGGATAGTTCAGGTAATACTCTGTTTCTACAGAATCGTCTTACTAGTTTCTATAATTTTGATTTGTTTTTCTGCTCCTTTTTGCCACCACTGTCGAAGCAGTAGCATATCCTTGATCACATGGCCCTTTCTTTAATATCACCAGAGAAAGTGATTGTGCCATGAAAGCATTTCATGTCTTTCTGCTGTCTGAGACAGGGATTACTCTCACTGTGCTTTTAGGTAAAGGTGCCTCTTATCATGCAGTAATGAATTGCACATGTTTGATGCTGTCTCAAATTGTGTATTTTCCCAAAAGCCTTCTACTTCAGAAAATTTTTGGCCAGAGGATTGTTTTTATGCCTGAACCTAAATAAAAGCAAAATAGTGAGAGTATATCAAAGAACAAAACTTCAGTGAATTTTTTTTTTTAGTAAAACTGATATTCCAGTAGGTAGTTTCATTTTTTTTTAATGGTATATTTGAAAGGAATGAAGTTTTAAAACAAACATTTTCTCTTTATAGAAAGTAGAAGTGAATTCTTAGAGAAGTTACAAAGAGCACGAGGCCAAGTAAAGCCATCTACTTCGAGTCAACCTATACTCTCAGCACCAGGACCTACTAAACTCACTGTAGGGAATTGGTCACTAACATGTTTGAAAGAAGGAGAAATTGCTATTCATAACTCAGATGGCCAGCAGGCAACAGTATTGAAAGAAGATTTACCTGGATTTGTGTTTGAATCTAATAGAGGAACCAGGCATTCATTTACTGCAGAAACTTCTCTGGGTAAGTATGTAGGTATGTCAGTTTAGCAGAATAAGAATGAATGAATATGTTAAATTGCACATAAATTGTTAAATTTCACAAAATACCTTCTGTGAAATGTCTTTTTTTTTCTTTTTAAGGTTCAGAATTTGTGACTGGCTGGACTGGCAAAAGAGGAAGAAAACTAAAATCTAAATTAGAAAAAACTAAGCAAAAGGTAAATTTGTGGGATTTGGTTTGTTTTGTTTTTTACACTGACATAGGGTTTTAGAGATAGATTATTAGCAGTTCAAAAACTGAGGCATATAACATAGGCTACCCTCGTCTAATATATTTTTAGTTTTCCTTTTTTGGTGCTCATTACCTCACTTTTCATAATATGTATACATTTGTTATTTTCTGTGTATATACTAAACACCAATATTAAAATAGAAATAAAATTGATGAGACATAGAAGAAAATTTAAATTATTTTAAAATCATCTTGAGTTTTTAATGTCACCAAAGCTTTAAACTTATGTTTTAATTAATGATAGAAGTATTTTTAGTGATACAGCGGATTTATTTTATTTTTTCATTTATTTTTATTAGTTGGAGGCTAATTACTTTACAATATTGTAATAGTTTTTGCCATACATTGACATGAATCAGCTGTGGATTTACATGTGTTCCCCATTCTGATCCCCCGTCCCGCCTTCCTCCCCATCCCATCCCTCTGGGTCTTCCCAGTGCACCAGCCCCGAGCACTTGTCTCATCATCCAACCTGGGCTGGTGATCTGTTTCACCCTTGATAGTATAATTGTTTCAGTGCTATTCTCTCAGAACATCCCACCCTTGCCTTCTCTCACAGAGTCTGATATGGGGGATTTAATATGCATTATTTTATTTTGTAATCTTGATTAAATATTTTGTGATGAAGAAGTTTGAATTCCTGGATCTAGACCCAGATAATTTGATACTTAGTTTAATGGCCATCTTAGATGAAGTCACCGTCTCAAAAAGATACAGAAGCAAATGTTATTGACTCATATTACTAGTTTTTAAATTCTGTCCATTTAGTATACATTTTTTAATCATTATATTTCCATCTACCATATCAATTATTGAATTGTTTTATTTTTAAAAAAGAAAGTAAAATCTCAGATTCATTATCTTCTGATGACACATTTTTATTTTACATATAATAATGATACAGTTTTTTTCATACAGTATGTAAAGAATGCCTTTGAGTGATTGAGATGGGAGAGTACTTGTGTTTGCATGGCTTTGGCCATAGAAATAATAGTAAGGGATTTTACTAGAAGCACTATATGTAATATATGAAGACATTAATTATTACATATAATCATTTCCAGTTGTAAATGTAGACTGTTAAGCTAGAGATTCCTTCCGATTCAGGATATCTTAAGGGCATTTGAGGAAGAAATATCTCAATTGAAGGTAGCCATTATATGGTAAAAGGAACTTGGACTAAATACAATTTACTTTTTTCATAGTAGTTATGTTCTGTAAGGTTTCCATGAATTGCTTCTTGGAGAAATACAGGTGTAGGTTCCTGTTAGGCTGTGGTCACGTTTTTTAAGTTTTTGCTGCACAGCATACACATGCCCACAAATGACTGTGAAAAGTGCTACAAGTATTGATTTGTGGGTTACACATAAATTTGAGTGATTAGCTGATTTCACAGGTATGAAATTCTCAAATGATGAAGCTCAACTCTTAAATTCTTTATAAACTACCACTCAGCTATCTCAGGAGGTTTTTTTTGGAATAAAATGTGAAAGTGTTAGTTGCTCAGTTGTGTCTGTCTCTTTGCAACTTATGAACTCTAGCCTGCCAGGCTCCTTTGTACATGGAATTTTCCAAGCAAAAATATTGGAGTGTGTTGCCATTCCTGTCTCCATGGGATCTTCTCAATCCAGGGATTGAACCTGGGTCTCCTGCATTGCAGGCAGATTCTTTACCATCTGAGCCACTAGGAAATTGTATTAACCACCCAAATCTAGATTAACCCACAGGGAAGTGAGCTTTATTATACAAAAGAAAAGTAAATCAAAGAGAGCATAATCTCAGTCCTCTAATTTTCTTAAAAAAATACAATTATTCATTCATTTTCTTGAAATCAGTAGTAACTCAGTGATCATGTGGTTATTCTTGTGTATGTGAAAGCTGTATGTATCAAAATATACTAACTTTAGGTAAAAATAATTTTATCTATTGTAAAGTAATAGATAAAATCATTTTATCTATTTTAAAAAATAATTTTGTATACACTCAGTTTTAACCTGTTTTTATTTCTTAATACTGCTTATAAAGTTTCTTCACTGTTGCCTGATATTCAAAACTTACTTACCTTTTAATTCTAAGAGGCATACCAAAATAGAATAGTAACATATTATTAATTCATGTAGAGAGCAAAATTTTTTCTATTAACATTAGAGCTATGCTGGGTTAGTTTGTGATATAAATGAAATCGTAATAAATCATAAAAACAGTGTTACATACAAAATTTCATCAGACTCAAGCCTGGGACATGTGTGGGTTCCTCTCTCAAATAATATTACTTTAATTTAAATGAGAGGTAATTAGTGCCCAAACTGACAATAGTCATTCTTGCTCTTGATGTAGTATATAAATACATGAGCATCATGTTTTGTGTGAATAATATAATGTAAATAGAAGAAAGACATATAAGTAAAGTATACCTTGGAATGTTAAAAGGTTCAGCTTCAGTTGATGGAATTATAGATGGCATAATTTTCTTTTCCTTTTTCTCCTTTTATTTTTGCTTATTTGTATTTTCTAATTGGTTCGCTATAAAACATTGTTAAAAAAGAGCAAAGTTACCCCTTATAGCTTTAATTTTATTTAAATAAAATAAGCTTATATTTAGTATATGAACATAAAGCTTGAATAACCAAAAGTTAAAATTATACTTTCTTTGAGTTGCCTAAAATCTGCTGGTGGTTTTTTAACCGTTAAATCTTTTTGATGTACATGTATAGAAGTAGTAACATTTTTTGGATCTTGAAACTGGCCAAACATCTTAACTTTAAAGGTTATATATTTAAAAGGAAGATTTGGTAAAATTATTCATTGTAGTAAAAATTCACGTTTACTATTTTTATTTTGGTAGGTACGAACTATGGCTCGAGATTTATATGACGACCACTTTAAAGCTGTTGAAAGCATGCCTCGTGGAGTAGTGGTAACCCTCAGAAACATAGCAACTCAGTTAGAGTCATCTTGGGAACTTCATACAAACAGACAAGTATGTTAGCCTCTCGATTTTATGACATGCAGTGATCTTAATTTAATTTTTCTTCTTTATCTTTACTATTCCAGATATTGATTAGGGAGTCAGCAAATTATCACCCATGGGTTAAATTTTGTTTGGTTTTGTTTCTAAATGGTTGAACACATATCAGAAATAAGAACAATATTTCATGATTTCTGAAAATTATATGAATGTGTAAAATTGTTGTTCTGTAGTAGTTTTATTGCACACAGCCATACTCATTTATTTCTATGTTGTCTGTAACTGCTATAGTGGCTACAATGACAGAGTTAAACAGGTGTGACCGAGATATGTGGCCTGTGAAGCCTAAGATAATTATAATCAGCCTTTTACAAATGAGGTTGCCAAGTCTGGTAGAGAAAATTTGCATTAATAATTTGAATTTCTTAATTGTGTTTAATGTCTAATTTCATGGTAATTGATGTTCTGATAAATTAAGTATATTAAGACCTGTTGGTTATTTTCATCATCCTTATTTAAAAATTTTTTTTTTCTTTTAGTGTATTGAGAGTGAGAACACTTGGAGAGATTTAATGAAGACAGCTTTAGAAAATCTGATTGTACTTCTGAAGGATGAAAACACAATTTCACCATATGAGATGTGCAGCAGTGGCTTGGTGCAAGCGCTTCTTACTGTTTTAAACAATGTAAGTAGTACAGAATGAAGTGTATAGTTAGGAAATTATTTGTAGCTACACTTTTGACAGAGCAAGGTTTACTTTATTTTGTCAAGGAGTATTAAAAACTGTAGTAAATGTTAACATCCATAATTTCTTCAGCCATTAAGTTTTACCAGTAATTTGAGCCAGTTGAATTAAACAATTGAGTTTAGGTTTTTTTTTTTAGTTACCTGATTATAACTTACTCAAGATTTGTTTGAAAAAAATGCTTTAACATTATTGACTGCTCTGATTTCCTCATAACTTTTGTAAAATACAGTTAGTAGGCCTTTTTAAATACCTAAAATATTTGGATAAGATTAAGTTACGAGCAATGACAGTTTAGGAAGTTTATGTGAATATTTGACAGGTATCAATATTTACCAGTAGCCTTATATTTCCCTTCAGTTTAGTCTGTGTTAATATCTCTTTATTATGATAAAATTTCTTTCCTTTATTAAAATTATCTTGATATATCATCACTCTGTATCACTTAATGTGTATGAAATCATTGTTTTGATATACCAGTCATATTTCTTATAATACTAATTAAGTAGTACTGTTAAAATGCAAAATGTTCATAAATAATCTGAAAGTAGCTTGTATACACTTTGAGGAAAGGAGTGTAATTGCTATCCATTATAACATTGAAGATATTAGCCACAATCTACTGGTCATATAATAAAAAATGTTAATTGAAAGAAAATAATGATTTCCCTTAGATTGTATTGATAATTTTGTAATGTATATTAATATTTTTGATTAATTTCAATATCAGTCATAAAAATTTTTTTTTCTTTTAAGAGCATGGATTTAGATATGAAACAAGATTGTAGTCAACTGGTAGAAAGAATAAATGTTTTTAAAACAGCCTTTAGTGAAAATGAAGATGACGAAAGGTAAATCCCCAAATTTCTTCTAATTTCATGTTTGAAGTGTTTGTAAGTTGATAGGTTTCTTTTGAAATAGTCTAATACAGTGTTCATATACAGAATAGGAACTTTTTAATTCAGTAAAAGAGTAGCTTATACATATATAAAAAAGGAAAGATTTTTTTAAAGTATTTTTTAATTTAATAGAATAAAAGGAAAAAATCCATGTCTGCTGTGAATGCAGCTGACCACTTATTTAAATTAGATAATCTTTAAGATACAACTGGACATCTTAACACTGATTATATATTTGATGATATTAAGTAGTAAGTATTCATTCCCTTTTAGTTGTGGTGATGATATGATTTTATTTTTTAAAATTTCTTCTGTAGAGCTACATACTCAAGAGTATTTCTGGGTGAAATGCTTTGGCATTTTCTTGAAAATACGTGGAAAGGGGAGAAATAATTGGGGATATAGCTAGAAATCAATTGGCTATTAATAGGTAACTGTTGAAGCTGGGTCGTGCGTTGATAAAGGTTCATTTTATGATTTTATTTACTTTTGAATATGATTGAATTTTTTAAATAATAAATGAAATTCAACTCCATTAATTTTAAATACTATTTTAAATGAGTGTGTATTATATAGATATATAATCATTTATTGAAACATTAGTCTATAAACATTAACTCTTTGCAAATTATTACTAATACTAAAATATACTTGTCTTGGTGGGAATGTCTTTTTATATAAATTGCTTTAAATAGTTTTAGTGAGTTGATGATTTTTTAAAACTTCCTGATATAACTTGTCATGTTATTTTCCAGAAATATTTTACCAGTGTTGCCTCGCTAACAATACTATCATTTTCCAAACTTCACTGCTTTATATAGTCTGTTATATGTATCAAATATTATATAGTAAAATTGTTTAAGCTTTAAAAAATAAAATACATGTTAAATTATACATTACTTTGAATGCAGCTGTGAAAGTTTCATATGAAAAATGAAATATTTTAGTAAGTAAAGAAATTGAGTTATGAGATTATCTTTGCTTACTCAGTTGTAGTCTAATGAAAAACTAAACTTCACTTTGCATTAATACAGAAAGTAGGGGTCTGTATGAATTGGCTATTGCAGATCCTGTATGAACTTTAGTTTGAACTTATATGGAAGTTCTTAACAATTACTTGTTTTCCTAGCCGACCAGCTGTTGCATTAATCCGAAAGTTAATAGCTGTATTAGAGTCTATTGAACGTCTACCTCTCCATTTGTATGATACACCAGGATCCACTTATAACCTCCAGGTAACCATGAAAATGCAATTGCTGTTATTGCTCAATGCATTTAGAAGCAGTCTTATTTTTCTTAAAAAAAAAAAACAAAAAAACATTTTATATTTTATTAAAGAATGATTGTGATTGTTGAAGCAAATTGTGACAAATCATTGTTTAATGATTGCTTAATAGTTAAATTTTTTAACCCTTAGTGCCTTTTGATTGTTCTTTTTAATGACTCTTGAATGTATTAGTATTTTAATATTTACTTTTAGTGGTAAATCATATTTAGTAGATCATAAGTGGAAAATGACACTCTCAGTTGGAAAACAGAAAAGAAAACCCTTTTGTTCTAGAGTTAATTCCCATCTGTTTATTAATTAAGTCCCTTTGTCTCTGTATGTAACTCGGCATGTAAGAAAATGTGAAAATGTTTCAGGCACGATTTTTTTTTCTTGTTTTCTGTATGTCATTGAGTAGAGATGGCCTTCCTCAGCTATTTCTATTGATCCTTTTGGAAATATGCAAACATGGTTTTATAAAAAGCCTGTTTTCTCCCTAAATATTATTTGGTTGTGTTTCTTATTAATTCATTAAATTATCCTTATGTTAGCATCTAGTATCCCAACATGAACAAAATTCTTCCTGCTAATGACCCAAAATAGATCTTTTCCTTTTCTGTAGGTTACTTTAGCATTTACTTGCAGGTTATTTGGGCTTGAGTCTTGCTTTTATTTGACCTTTTCTGCATTTCTCTGCATCAAATAGTTTCTTTTAAATACAGCCTTTAATAAGTGACTAAAAAAACTATATTTGCGCTAACAATGCCTACTCAATACAAAAAAACTTAGCATTCCCCCAAGAACCCATTAGTGTTACCAAAGGCACTAGATTTCCAGACTAGAAAGCTTGTTCAGGGAGTTACGGTATTGTTACTGTATCTGACATAGTACATATATTAAATAAGTTGTAGAGGTCTACTTTTTTGCTTTACTTCCAACAGAACGTTATAGAGGAACAAGGGGATTTTTGCCTATTATTTTAAAGGTTTTATCTCTGATAGGTGAAGGAGATAGAAATAGTCTCAAAGACTGGAGATATCCCAGGTTATACTTATAGGAGCACCAACATCTTTTATTGTTTGTATATCATTTCAGGAGACTGTGCAAGATACAAGGACAGGAAAGCTAGGGATGTGCCCTCTGGTAATTTTGTAGTCTAAAATGCTTCCCAAGTGTACATATAAATGTTTAATTCTGTGGCTATAGAAAGGTTAAAATTTATACAGAAATGAAGCACATACGTGTTTTATTTACTGACATACTGGATTGGAAGCTATTAAAATGTCTTGTATTTTTTCAGTTTACTAGCCATAGATTATTTAATAATTCTCACTTTAAAAGCATAAGTTAATTAGCTGCTTTTTATAACTTATCTGGAAAATTGCAAGTTACCAGTTAAGGCTGTAATATTTCTGTTAATCTGTTAAGTGATTTATAATAATTTTATTTAAACCATGTATGTTTGAAGTTTTTTAGAGATAAGTAATTTGTTTCTTTCTTGAAAATATTACTTATTCAGTGAACCTCTTTAAAACATTTAGTAGGAAACAGATACTGATACTCCTTTATGGTTATACTTTATTAATCGCAATTGCTGTGTTATGTAACATTTCTCATTTTCAAAATGCTAAGATAAAAGCACAGCGTTCCCTGAAGCATTTAATCATTTCTGTGTAGATACTTACAAGAAGATTAAGATTTCGGTTGGAACGTGCACCTGGTGAAACTTCATTAATAGACAGGACTGGCAGAATGTTGAAGATGGAACCCTTAGCTACAGTTGAATCCCTGGAACAGTATCTCTTAAAAATGGTGAGTTTCTGGCAAGGACATGGTGTGAAATAAGCTTTTTGGTTTAGCCCTTTAGAAAAGTGGTTTGGGAATTCCATTTTAGAAAATAATGTTTAGACTATAAAGGGTTTCTTCATAAAGATGTCTATTATAGTTATTTGTACTACTAAAACAGCAAAACCTTAATGCTAATAAGTAAAGGAGTTATCAGTTCGGTAATTATTTCAATTAGTTTGACTGTTATTTGGCTATCATAATATACAGACTGATAAGGGAAAAATGTTTTTGTACAGTATGATCGAGACTTTGCTTTATTCTGTCTGTTGAAATAATAGACTAAAGAAGTACTCTCTGATATTAATAGTGGGGTACCGTGGTTAGGGAATTTTCTAGTTATTTTTCTTTTTCAAATATTTTTAATGAATGTTGATTATTTTAAAAAATCACATTAAAGGGTTAGGAACAAAGTGGGCATTGAACTTCAAAATATCATCGTTAAGGTGTCTTCCATATTTTCTTTGGGTAGGTAGCAAAGCAGTGGTACGATTTTGACCGATCTTCATTTGTTTTTGTTCGAAAATTAAGAGAAGGCCAAAATTTTATATTTCGACACCAGCATGATTTTGATGAAAATGGAATCATTTACTGGATTGGAACAAATGCTAAGTAAGTCACTCTATTTAATGTAGATTGAAAATATTCACCTGGAAAAGAAATCTAGGTAGTAGAAACCACTCTGAATATTCTGTCGTTCTAGGAATTTCATCTTTTAGGTTAAATTTAAGACCCCCATCCACATTTTTCTTTTTATGAAGAAAAGTTGCTTAAATTACTATAGAATTTTTCTTAATATAATTTTATGTTGGAAAAAGGTAATCTGAACAAATGCAGTTATTTTAAAAGTGTTAACTGTTAACACTGCTTAAGAGCATTTTCTTTGTTTTTATGTAGAACTGCATATGAATGGGTTAATCCAGCTGCTTATGGACTTGTAGTAGTAACATCATCAGAAGGACGAAATCTACCTTATGGCCGCTTAGAAGACATATTGAGTCGTGACAATTCAGCTTTAAATTGTCATAGCAACGATGATAAGAATGCCTGGTTTGCCATAGATCTGGGTCTCTGGGTGATACCATCAGCATATACACTTCGTCATGCTCGTGGTTATGGAAGGTCTGCACTGAGAAATTGGGTTTTCCAGGTATCCAAAGATGGACAGAACTGGACTTCTTTGTATACCCATGTTGATGACTGCAGTCTCAATGAACCAGGGTTAGTTGAGGAGTCTTTGTAAATTGGAAAACTCAGTAAAGAGTTTTGTTTATTTTTATAACTATATCCTCTAGAGCTCTCTATAAGACACTGAAACAAGATTTTCTTGCTAAAAATATCACTTGATACTGTAATTTAGGTGTTAAAACTTTGAAAAATGACTTTATGAAAATCATCAAATGCTTTAAACTTTAGTAGAAGCTGAACTTATTTTAAAAGAAGTTTATACATAGCTATATATGTATGTATATAGCACACTGATAAAAGCAAAAAAAGAATTAACTTTTAAACTAAACTACCCATTTATTTACACAATGTATGTGAATGACAAATTAACAGTGACTATTGATTTTTCTTATTTTATGTATCTGTTTTCCTAAATTTTATATATTGATCGTCTATGTGCTTTTTTTTTTTTCATTTATTTTTATTAGTTGGAGGCTAATTACATCATTGCAGTAGTTTTTGTCATACATTGAAATGAATTAGCCATGGATTTACATGTATTCCCCATCCCGGTCCCCCCTCCCACCTCCCTCCCCACCCGATCCCTCTGGGTCTTCCCAGTGCACCAGGCCCGAGCACTTGTCTCATGCACCCAACCTGGGCTGGTGATCTGTTTCACCCTAGATAATATACATGTTTCGATGCTGTTCTCTTGAAACATCCCACCCTCGCCTTCTCCCAGAGTCCACAAGTCTGTTCTATACATCTGAGTCTCTTTTTCTGTTTTGCATATAGGGTTATCGTTACCATCTTTCTAAATTCCATATATATGTGTTAGTATACTGTAATGGTCTTTATCTTTCTGGCTTACTTCACTCTGTATAATGGGCTCCAGTTTCATCCATCTCATTAGAACTGATTCAAATGAATTCTTTTTAATGGCTGAGTAATATTCCATGGTGTATATGTACCACAGCTTCCTCATCCATTCGTCTGCTGATGGGCATCTAGGTTGCTTCCATGTCCTGGCTATTATAAACAGTGCTGCGATGAACATTGGGGTGCACGTGTCTCTTTCAGATCTGGTTTCCTTGGTGTGTATGCCCAGAAGTGGGATTGCTGGGTCATATGGCAGTTCTATTTCCAGCTTTTTAAGAAATCTCCACACTGTTTTCCATAGTGGCTGTACTATGTTCATCAGTGATATTGGCCTGTAGTTTTCTTTTTTTGTGGCATCTTTGTCTGGTTTTGGAATTAGGGTGATGGTGGCCTCATAGAATGAGTTTGGACATCTATGTGCTTTTTAAAGGCAGAAAGTCAGCATTATGTTTCTAAAAAATTTAGTTCTAATACAGTTTAATTGTATATTGTGGCACATTTTGAGGAGTAGGTAGAGTGTAGATTAAATTGTTTTTGTATTTGATGTATGGAGGTAGCTTCTTAACATGATTAATAGGTAATATTTTCAAGCTTTAAAGTTGCTGTTTTAATATTTCATTTAAAATTTTTCAAAAAGTTAAATATCTTTTTTATCATAAAGATATTTGTTACTCATAAAATTTCTTATTTCTTTGGATTTTATTATAAATCTTTTAGAGTTATGAGTCAAATTAATCATATACATTTAACATTTCATTTTTCATTTCCTTCTATTTTTCTTCTTTTATTTCTTGATTTTTGTGTAACAAACTGGTGGCTGAACATGAAAGTTACTTTATTTTTCACATAATTTTCTATTACGTAAAAAAGATCTTTGCTACCTTAAATGTATTTTTCATATATTTAAAATATTACGTAATATTTTCCCTAACATTCACAGGTCAACAGCCACCTGGCCTCTTGATCCACCAAAGGATGAGAAACAAGGATGGCGACATGTCAGAATTAAACAGATGGGAAAGAATGCGAGTGGACAGACCCACTATCTCTCACTATCTGGGTTTGAACTTTATGGCACTGTAAATGGAGTATGTGAAGATCAGCTAGGTAAAGAGAGAACAGTAGGTTTTTCTAACTTACTAAAACAATTACACTTATAGAAAGTGACTTTGACTGTATTTCTTTAATTTCTGCGTAACAGGAAAAGCAGCTAAGGAAGCAGAAGCTAATCTTAGACGACAGAGACGTCTGGTTCGCTCCCAGGTGCTGAAGTACATGGTCCCAGGGGCTCGTGTGATCAGAGGCCTTGACTGGAAGTGGCGTGATCAGGATGGCAGCCCGCAGGGGGAAGGCACGGTCACGGGAGAACTGCACAATGGTGAGCAGGTGCTTAGCGTTTGTCGTGTAGGAACTGAGTATTTACATCACAAAACATTTTTCTTTTGCTATTTTGTGGTAGTATATAAGTTGAATAAATGTTCCAGGAATAAGAAGAAGAACCCATCTATTGGTTTTATGTTAAAATGGAAAAATCATTTACTTAAATACTGGAAAATTTTTTAATTGTTAGGTTTTTGACTCAAAACTTACTGCTAACAATTTGAAGTAATTTTTATTAATAAGTTAGTATGAGGTGAATACCCTAAAAGACATATTTTTCTGCTCCTTTTGTGTCTTTTTTTTAAGTTTATTATTCATAAGTTCCATTGATCTTAATTTCTTATGCTTTTCTTTATCTTGTTAGCCTCACAAGAATCAGGCAAAATTTTTTTGTTCAATTATAAGTCATATATAAGAAAAAGCATTAGTGTTTTTAAGTTAGACATTTTTCAGTAAAGGACAGAACAAAAATTGTAGCGTTTTCACTTATTAGTTAATTATATTTCAAAATGTTTCTCAGTCTACCAGTTTTTCTTTGGGATATTAAACTTTTGTGTTCCATAAGCATTATTTTTTAAAATCTAGTTCATTTCAACTTTTGATTCTGTAGATTTTAAGGAAGTTCATACCCACTTTATGCTATCTATTCCCAGAAGCAACTGTAGTGGCTAGATTTTTTTCTTATAACTTAAAAGACTCATTTATTAGTGGATAATTTGCCTAACCAATGGTGGTTCTGATGAATTTTGCCTACCATTTAAAAAAGTAAAATGTTCTTATTGTCAATTTACACCAAATATTGAAAGAGATAATAAGAGTGACAATGCTTAAGAGAAGGACTAGCATTTGATATCTTAATTATGTGATAAAATCATCTGTTTACTTAAACTCTTTTTGCTCTTACTACGTTTAAGATTCTGTCCCTGAAATTACCATACGAAATGCATTTCTGTTTAGTTGTACCCTAATTTCAGATTATCATCATAGCAGGTTTATAGTGAGTGAGCATGTATGTAGCTGCTCAAATTCATAAAAAACAATAATACTTGAATAATAATAGTTCAATTCAGAAATTTCCAGTGTTCTTGTTTTTGCACATCTTAATGATACTTAGTAGTCTTATTTCCCCTACATTGTTTGACTTTTAGTGTAAGCTAGTTAGGGATATGTAAGTACTGTGTGTTTTTCTTGGTTTGGAGTCAAGTGAAGCAACTGCTTAGGAAAATTAGAATCTTAATTTCAGAATTTAGCATATAAGAAAGGCTTATTTTTGCTGATCTGACAAATGTAGAAAAGTCACACCTTAAAACCATCACGTTGTACAGAGTTCTTAGCTTTCAAATACTTAAGCTAACCATTTTTAATAATGGCTAGTTGTTACTAACTCTCTTTATCTAAAGAAGACTTCGGAGTTTTGTAAATGTCCACTTCTGGATATGTACCCTTTCTGAGTTCTTGTCAGTGATCAGTTTAAACACATTCTGAAGCGTAATTGAATGGTTTACATTTATTAGTTATTTTTCTATACTGTGTCAAATCTCTTCCCTTTCTAAAGAACCTTTGTGTTGGTAGGAATATCCATTTTGTAATTTATCAGACACATATGAGTGCCTGTTACATAAAGGTACTCTATTAGACTTCAGATACACATTGGTCAACAAAAAAGTATGATCCCATGCTTTCTGGTAAAACAGATAAAACATACAGTTACAGATTTTGATATGTGCTATGAAATAAGTTATCAGTATATTTTGGGACCAGTTAATATGATGCAGTGTAATTTTATTCGGGATTGGGGTATGTTTTTGAACTTTTCCTTTTCTCACACTTTTCCATATTACAGAAGAGATAGTTAAAAGTGATTCTTCAGAGGTTAATTCAGCATACAGAATAAATTGAGGCAATTGAAATCTCATCTAAACTAGATTATGTAGATTTGGGGCAGTCAGTTTCCTCTCAAACAACTTGTGTGCAGATAATTCCCACAGGTAAATTAATATTACTTAAACCCCTCTGAGTTTCATTGTAAACATGTATGAACTTGGCGTGTGTGTGTGTCTGTGCATGTATGCGTGAGAGTGTGTGTGTGTGGGGGTGAAGTACTTTTAACGTTTTTAAAGACTATATTTATGTGCTTTTTTTCCCCCTGAAGTAATTAGCTTATAACACTAAAATAAGATGGTAAAATTTATATTAATTTTATTTCTAATAGGCAATTTATTTTGTTTTTGGAAGTTAATTACCATTTTTTAAAAAGAAGTATTGTTTTCCAAGTATAAGTAAATATAGATTTAATATTATGCTCACTAGTTCTTTTCATGTTGTTAGCTTTATCATATAGGTTCTATCTCATAAAAGAGCTTAGCATACTTCTAAAATTTTGGTTTTAGAATTTTGTGCTTATTCAAATTTATTAATTTTAATCATAAGAGAACCAAGTAACCACTGAACTTTGAGAACACAACCGAAATGCTAACTTAGTGTTATTTGAGCTAGTGGCTTAGAATTTCTACAGTGATAAATGAATATTTTGTCCGTCAATTATAGGATTTAGCCCAAACTTAGAAATTAATGGTTAAGCCAGCACTTTTTTCTATAAACATTTGACCACATGATCATATTTAGCAACTAAAAAAGCTTTTACTTAGATTTCATGTATACTTGCTGAAGTTGCAATAGTTTACCATTTTTATCCATCTTTTTACAGTTTTTAACAGTTCTTCCCCTTGAAAGATACTCCAGTAGTTATAAACGTGACCCTTATATTGTTTTTAAATATTAACAAACAGTTCAGAAATAAGAGAAACAGAAGGATTCAAGTTTAATTGGCAGACCTTAGATGACTAGAAATTCAGAGAAGTACAGCACTGATGAAAAGCTGATCCCATATTGTGGAGCTACTGTCTGACACGCTCCTATCTGCTTTCTGCTGGGTCTCACAAACTCCTGTCCCTTTCCAGGCTGGATTGATGTCACCTGGGATGCTGGTGGCTCAAACTCTTACCGTATGGGCGCAGAAGGAAAATTTGACCTCAAGCTTGCACCAGGGTACGACCCTGATACAGTGGCATCACCCAAACCTGTTTCATCCACTGTTTCAGGCACAACGCAATCATGGAGCAGCTTGGTGAAAAACAACTGTCCAGACAAGACATCTGCTGCTGCAGGCTCCTCAAGTAGAAAAGGAAGCAGCAGTTCTGTGTGTAGCGTGGCCAGTAGCAGCGACATCAGCTTGGGTTCGACCAAAACGGAACGGAGATCAGAAATTGTAATGGAACACAGTATAGTTTCAGGAGCTGATGTCCATGAACCAATTGTTGTTCTTTCATCTGCTGAAAACGTCCCTCAAACAGAAGTAGGGTCATCTTCCAGTGCAAGTACCAGCACCTTAACAGCGGAGACGGGAAGTGAAAATGCTGAAAGAAAGTTAGGCCCTGATAGTTCTGCTCGTGCTCCTGGGGAGTCTAGTGCAATATCCATGGGAATTGTTAGTGTTAGCTCTCCTGATGTTAGTTCAGTCTCTGAGTTAACTAATAAAGAAGCCGCTTCACAACGGCCCCTTAGCTCTTCAGCAAGTAACAGACTGTCCGTGAGTTCTTTGTTGGCTGCCGGGGCCCCCATGAGCTCTAGTGCAAGTGTACCTAACCTGTCCTCAAGAGAAACATCTAGCTTGGAGAGTTTTGTAAGGAGAGTGGCAAACATAGCACGGACTAATGCCACCAACAACATGAATCTAAGCCGAAGCAGCAGTGATAACAACACTAATACTTTGGGGAGGAATGTGATGAGCACAGCAAGTAAGTGAGCTTTTCATTATAGATCCCAATGCTTTTTCCACTCTGAGGGATGCAAAGCAGGATTTGTTTAGTGGATTCTGGCTCTAGTCTTTAACCAGATCATTAAACCCTCTTATGTACAACTGTGTCACGTTTAGCACTTCAGGAATATAAGATTAAGTTCTATGGAATTGTGACATTTTAAGAATTCTGATCAGGACCTGATAAAGAACCTCTTATTCTAATTCTGAAGAAGAAAATAACACATTTCTGTTTTTCACTCCTCTGATTGTCAAGTATAATTACAAGAGGAAATAGATGGCTATTAACTATCATCAGAGTCAGTCGAAATCAGAACATAATACTGGCATAACTTTTACTTAGGTCCTGAATTGATATTAGCTTATGAAAATTTTTAATTCTAATTAAAGCTACCAATGGGTCAAAGTAATTCCCTTGGAAAATACCATTGGGAGCAATTTCAGTGCCTGTTTCACTTATTTTAAAAGCCAGGCTTAACATTCTAAAAAATAATAATGCTATAAAAACAATTTCTAGTTGGATTTCAGTTGGGTTCCCAAAGTTGTTGCTTTTCAGCCTTTTAATAATCAGTGTTTCATGACCGCATTCTTTTTTCTAAATATACAACGTAGTTTTTCTAAGATTTACACAGTCCTCCCTTTTTTGTACTAATTTGCTTCCTTTTTATCCTTAGCTTCTCCTCTTATGGGTGCTCAGAGTTTCCCTAATTTGACCACACCCGGTACTACATCGACAGTGACTATGTCAACATCCAGTGTTACTAGCAGCAGCAACGTAGCTACGGCAACAACAGTTTTATCAGTTGGTCAGTCTTTAAGTAATACTTTAACCACCAGCCTCACATCAACCTCCAGTGAGAGTGACACAGGTCAGGAAGCAGAATATTCCTTATATGGTAAGTTACAGTATAAAATACTTAGATATTTATATGATGATGTTTTTAATCACATTTTTCTCCTGGAGTGTTTTACATTTTCGATTAGAAAAGGATTATTCTCTCTTATAAATATGGCAGCTTTATATGTGATGAAAAAACTCAAAGTGATATGAAGAACTGTTATCTGGTTGTAAATAGACATCTAGGAACTTCTGTGTCATCCTTTTCTTGGCCTTTTGTTACTAGTGAAGTTTTATTAGAAGAACCGTAATAATTTGACATCTTTATTAGAAAAGACGTGTGAATTGTAAATTGATAATTCTTTGTACATTGTAACATAAGAGGAGAAATACTCCCGTGTGTCTAGCATTCTTTCAGTACCCTGCTGCTTCACTTTGCAGCTCTGTCCTCCAAGTGTGTGTAAAGTTCTCCCCCAGTTCTGACACTCCCTGCCTACCTGGAGATAGTATGAGATCCCACAGGTTAGTCTCAGTTCTCCAACACTGCCCACCCCTCACCTTTGCCCCTTTAGTCACTAATCACAAATCCAGATCATTATCTGTGCTCATCACTGGCTGTCTGTAAACTGGAAGTTTCCACAACCCCCTCTTTGGGTTAGATTAATTTGCTGGAGTGGCTCACAGGGCTCAGAAAAACATTTTATGTGCTGGGTTACTGATTTTTCATAAAAAGGATATTTAGGGGATACTCTGGTAGTCCAGTGGTTAGGACTCTATGCTTCCACTGCTGTGGGGCCGGAGTTCCATCCCTGGATTGGGAACAAGATCCCATGAGATGCTTGATCTGGCCAAAAAAAGAAGAGGAGAAGAATATATAACTCAGGAACAGGCAGATGGAAGAGATGCACACGGCAAAGTCCGGGAGGTCCCAAGCACAGGACCTTTCATCCCCATGGAGTTTAGGAGCCATCCTGGCCTGTCATTGTGTTCATGTCTACCAGCCTGGAAGCTTTCTGAACCCCCAACCTTTCAGGGCTTTTATTTTTTGCAGACGTCATGATTTAGGCACCAGTGATTCAATTACCAGCCATTGGTGACTCAGTCTCCAGCTCCTCTCCCCGGAGGTCTAAGGGGCGAGATCAAAGTTCCAGTCCTCTGATTATGGTTGGTTCCACTAACAAGCAGCCCCATCCTTAGGTTACCTAAGGGCTTTCTAAAAGTCTCCTCATTAAAACAACTCCAGTTATAGATAACAAACGACACCGCCATTGCTCTTATCTCAGGAAATTCCAAGAGTTTAAGAAACTCAGTATATGGAACAGAGATGAAGACTGAATTTTCCTTATTATAAACCACCTTATCACAACAGTTATCAGAGTCTTCTGGAAATTATTCTTTATTTAGGAAATATTTGAAATATTCAGATGAATTAGTTCTTGCTTAGAAGGTTTTACAGTTACATTATTGAAGGTCCTGTGGTATGTAGTCAGTGATTCAATTAAAATATTTCTAATCATCATATTAGAACGGTAAAATTTTTTATAGAAGGGAAATGTTGAGGCAAATAAAAATCATCTAGTCCCTACCATTGTTGTCATTTGATACATATCATTTGATGTATCTGTTCTTTAAGAAAAAAGAAATTCTATCCTTTCTGGACAGCTCTTTCCACTGTAAAAATATTTTAATATACTTCAGTGAGTTTCTACAACATAGAATGGCTGCCAGATATTCCTCTGACTGTATGATCATTATTTAATATTGATTGGATATTTAAGTTACAGTTTTTCATTACCATCAGCATTGTTATGAGTGAGCATCCTTTGTATTTTGTGTATTTCTTTAGGGTAAATTCCTAAAAGAGTAATTGTTGAATTTCCTTCCAAAAAGGTTGTACTCCCATCATTATTGTTTTAGATTACCCTTTATCACAATCCTTGATCACCTGTTCTTTTTTCAAAATTACTTTTGTTAATTTCAAATATAAAAAGTTATATGAGGATATATTTTATTTAAGTACTATCTTGTGTATGCATCATTTTAATATGTTTTCATTTTTTTTAAAGAATGTGGTCTCTCGTATTCCAAGCTAAGAATTGGATCTGATGATCTATGATTTTAGGAAAAGCATTATATTTCTGTTAACCACTTTATCTGTTACATATGTATGTAGCAGAATGACGATGATAATTACACCAAAGTGTCGTAAATTCACCAGAAGCATTTCTACTTTGGTTTTCCTCATGGAGGGCTTCTGCTTCTCCCTATTACTATGTTAACTTTAAGCTTTAGGTCTGTTAATAAATCATGTGAAGGTTAAGAAAGTTGTAGGTATACTAATGGGAAAGAATATTGAGGAGTCAGGGCTACTGACTGCCTTTTAAAAACTATTCTTTGGTGATTAAAATTTCTTTTTCTGCATTTCTAAAACTGGAGGATTCTTTGACAGTGCTGTTGTATGAAGGATCAGAGTGACATCTGCATTATAAAATTATTTCTAAATATGCAAACTTTCACTGTGTTATGTTTTGAGGGACATGATTTGATTGTGTAATATAATCAAATGTATGCAATACGGAGTTTTTTTTAATATATTTATTACCCTTGTGAAGTGAAAATGTTAGTCGCTTAGTTGTGTTCGCCTCTTTGCGACCCTATGGACTGTAGCCCACCAGGCTCCTCTGTCCATGGAATTCTCTAGGCAAGAATACTGGAGTCGGTAGCCATTCCCTTCTTCAGGGGATCATCCCAACCCAGGGATCAAACTCATGTCTAGTACATTGCAGGCAGATTCTTTACCATCTGAGCCACCAGGGAAGCCTTATATAATATCCTTATACTAGGATAAAAAACGGAAGATGAGTAAAACCACTGATTCAGTGAATTGTGACACATGAAAAATGGACTTTATGTACCTACATATTTTTTCCTTTAAGAAATAAACCTAAAGTGGAATTGATTTATTTTGTGTACTGCCACATCATATTCGTGAGAACCATTACCTAAAATGCAGGATGGAACTTTCCATGTTTGTTGTTGTTTAGTCACTAAGTTGTGTCTGACTCTCTTGCCACCTCCATGGACTGTAGCCTGCCAAGCTCCTCTGTCCATGGGAATTCCTAGTGTAGAATACTAGAGTAGGTTGCCATTTCCTTCCCCAGGGGATCTTTCCGACCCAAGAGTTGAACCCGTGTCTCCTGCATTGCAGGCGGATTCTTTTACTGCTAAGCCAACAGGTTATGGGTAATATATTTCATCAACTTTAAGATGCTATTAATTATAAGATTATTTTATGTCATTAAGGAAAAAATGTTGCCAATTTAGCTGTGAATATTCTGAAACCAGCATGTATCTTATAAGCAGTGGCACGTCATAGTAAAAGGCATTGAATTTTTAGTCTTGTATAATTGTTAGACATAAAAAATTGTATTTGGTTCAGCAACCTGTAAATGCAAGTTCCTACTAAATAATTATAAATTGTTTTTTGGATATTCTTTTGTAATGTATGTACTGCCTTCTTATCCATAGAAGTTTTTTGTTTTTTTAATTCCAGATGCAATAAAAAAAAACTCTTGTTTTAGTCCCATTATTCCTCTTCTTATTTTCAGTTCCTGTGGAGAACAGCTTCTCACCATCTTCATTATGTGGGGCAGTGTAAATCTTCACTGAAGGATGGTGGGGAGAGAGCCTAACAAGGAGGGAGGCAAAAGGGATTAAAGTTTATTTTTATGTGCTAGATAATTTAGACAATATATAAAGCTGTATCTAACATCATTCCCTAGTAAATAGGCGTTATCTTTAAGCGGTCATTATCATGAGGCAGTCTCTCCAGTCACATAGGTAAATTAATTATCTCTGATCAACTTAAATTCTCTTCTTTCCCCTTTCACAGTTTATGTATTCATTTGTTTACTTTTTAAATGACTCTCCCCTGTAAGCTCCATGGGGGCTCAAACCATGTCTATCTTGTTTACAACTATGTGTACCTAGTGCCTAATGCAATTCTTGGCACATAGTAGGCACTCAGACAGATACGGCTTGACACAGCAAATGATTCCAAAGTGTTCTCTTTCCACCATTGTGTTTCCACTGACTTATACAGAGAATGTAATAGGGCTCCTTTTATTTTTTAACATACCGCATATTGTTGACCTTTTTAAAAAATGATTTTGTGCATATGGATTTAGTTTATTACCATCCTTTATCCCATGTCATTTTCTGCCATGCTTGGGACTATTTACTGTTGTTACTGATCCTTTGTGTGTGGTGGTAGGAGAAGAGTGACATCACTGAATGTGGCCTTTATGCCTGAACCTTTTGAATTTTACATGTGTGTTATAAAACGGATCCACAAAGGTAGTCTGGTATGCTTTGTTAATTGTGTTAAGAGGAAGATTGTTGGTTTTGTTTTCTAGATTTCCTTGATAGCTGCCGTGCCAGTACTCTGTTAGCTGAGCTAGATGATGATGAGGACTTGCCAGAGCCAGACGAGGAAGATGATGAAAATGAAGATGACAATCAGGAGGACCAAGAATACGAGGAGGTTATGGTAGAGAGAGAGTCCCCCATTTTCTTAACTAAGATATGATGTTGATAATTGAAATGAAGAAAAGAAAAGCAATGTTCTAGTTAAACTTTGAAGCAAGAAAATAGAGCACCAGTGTGAAAGATGTGCTGATGTTTTTACAGGTTTAAAAATGTGAAGAACTGGAGTAATCCTAAATAATACAATTTTCAGGACTTCCCCCAGCAATTCAGCAGTTAAGATACAGGGCCCAGGTTTGATCCCTGGTTGGAGAACTAAGATCCTACATGCCATGTGGCATGGACCAAAAAAAAGCTATGCTTAGAATTTTCTGGTATCTGCTGTTTTGCAGACAGTATCTGTATTATCTCATGAGTCCTTACACAGACCTATGAGATAGAGACATAGAAAACATAATTTGCTCTAATTAATCAGAGTTGAGTAGGAAAGTAGGACCCAAGCTTGGGCAGTATGATCCAGAACCGCTAGTGTTTGTTAACTATGATTGTCTTAAAATTGAACTTTTGCCTGAAAATGCCTTTTATTTTAAACTCATGTATAATTTTAATTTCCTTTTATAAAATGTTAGAATATTAAAGCATTTTTTCCTAAGTTGGGTTTTAGTGGGGTGGAGAACTCCCAAGAAATGCTTTTGTTTACCTTTCTTGGAAAATATATAGAGCATGGGCACGTTTCTTCTGAATGTTAGTATATGATGTATGATGAATTAAAAGCTTTTCTATAAATGGCTAATGAAGTTTTCTAATGACAGTTTTGATAACATAGTTCAGGTGAAGGCTGAAGAGGGATATATATGAGTCACGTAATTAGACATGTCTCTTTCCATTTTCTGTATCAGATCCTGAGACGCCCGTCCCTACAGCGCCGAGCTGGCTCCCGCTCTGATGTAACACACCACGCTGTCACCTCACAGCTACCACAGGTCCCAGCTGGAGCGGGGAGCCGACCTATTGGGGAGCAGGTAATATCTTCATGTCTGCCTTCCTACAGTGTTTTTCCCTTTCACAGTAAAGCACTGGCTAAAATGTCTAGGAAAATCTACAGAGGGGGCAGGGTGAGGGCAGGAAGCAACCAGAGTTAACAGAAGGACACTTGCCCAACTACTTGGGTTCCATATACCAGGTAAAGTCCATGATTGCTCTCCCGTAATGCAGACAGGGTTTTCTTACTTGAAACACCCCGCCTTGGCATTTTTTTGGTAGTAAACATATATTAAAATCAGTTCAGTTCAGTCACTTAGTCATGTCCAACTCTTTGCAACCTCATGGACTGCAGCACGCCAGGCCTCCCTGTGCATCACCAACTCTGAGTTTGCTCAAACTCATGTCCATTGAGTTGGTGATGCCATCCAACCATCTCATCCTCTCTCGTCCCCTTCTCCTCCTGCCTTCAATCTTTCCCAGAATCAGGGTCTTTTCAAATGAGTCAGCTCTTCCCATCAGGTGGCCAAAGTATTGGAGTTTCAGCTTCAACATCAGTTGTTCCAATGAACACTCAGGACTGATTTCCTTTAGGATGGACTGGTTGGATCTCCTTGCAGTCCAAGGGACTCTCAAGAATCTTCTCCAACACCACAGTTCAAAGCATCAATTCTTCGGCACTCAGCTTTCTTTATAGTCCAACTCTCACATCCTGACTACTGGAAAAACCATAGCCTTGACTAGACGGACGTTTGTTGGCAAAGTAATATCTCTGCTCTTTAATGTGCTGTCTAGCTGGTCATAACTTTTCTTCCAAGGAGCAAACATCTTTTAATTTCATGGCTGCAGTCACCATCTGCAGTGATTTTGGAGCCTCCCCCCAAAGAAAGTCTGCCACTGTTTCCCCTGTTTCTCCCATCTATTTGCCATGAAGTGATGGGACCAGATGACATGATCTTAGTTTTCTGAATGTTGAGTCTTAAGCCAACCTTTTCACTCTCCTCTTTCACTTTCATCAAAAGCCTCTTTAGTTCTTCACTTTTTGCCATAAGGCTGGTGTCATCTGCATATCTGAGGTTATTGATATTTCTCCCAGCAATTTTGATTCTAGCTTGTGCTTCATCCTGCCCAGCATTTCTCATGATGTACTCTGCGTTTAAGTTAAATAAGCAGGGTGACAGTATACAGCCTTGACGCACTCCTTTTCCTATTTGGAACCAGTCTGTTGTTCCATGTCCAGTTCTAACTGTTGCTTCCTGACCTGCAAACAGGTTTCTCAAGAGGCAGGTCAGGTCATCTGGTATTCCCATCTCTTGAAGAATTTTCCACAATTGGTTGTGATCCACACAGTCAAAGATTTTGATGTAGTCAAGAAAGCTGAAGTAGATGTTTTTCTGGAATTCTCCTGCTTTTTCCATGATATTAGCAATTTGATGTCTGGTTCCTCTGCCTTTTCTAAAACTAGCTTGAACATCTGGAAGTTCACGGTTCATGTATCGTTGAAACCTGGCTTGGAGAATTTTGAGCGTTACTTTGCTAGCGTGTGAGATGAGTGCAATTATGTGGTAGTTTGAGCATTCTTTGGCATTGCCTTTCTTAGGGATTAGAATGAAAACTGACCTTTTCCAATCCTGTGGCCACTGCTGAGTTTTCCAAATTCGCTGACATTGAGTGCAGCACTTTCATGGCATCATCTTTCAGGATTTGAAATAGCTCAACTGGAATTCCATTACCTCCACTAGCTTTGTTCATAGTGATGCTTTCTAAGGCCCACTTGACTTCACATTCCAGGATGTCTGGCTCTAGGTGAGTGATCACACCATCATGATTTTCTGGGTCGTGAAGATCTTTTTTGTATAGTTCTTCTGTGAATTCTTGCCACCTCTTCTTAATATCTTCTGCTTCTGTTAGGTCCATACCATTTCTATCCTTTATTGAGCCTATCTTTGCATGAAATGTTCCCTTGATATCTCTAATTTTCTTGAAGAGCTCTCTAGTCTTTCCCATTCTATTAGCCTTTGCCCTGCTTTATTCTGTACTCCAAGGCCAAATTTGCCTGTTAGTCCAGGTGTTTCTTGACTTTCTACTTTTGCATTCCAGTCCCCTATAATGAAAAGGACATCTTTTTTGGGTGTTAATTCTAGAAGGTCTTGTAGGCCTTCATAGAACTGTTCAACTTCAGTTTCTTCAGCATTACTGGTTGGGGCATAGACTTGGATTACAGTGATATTGAATAGTTTGCCTTGGAAACGGACAGAGATCATACTGTCATTTTTTTTTTTTTTCATACTGTCATTTTTGAGATTGCATCCAAGTACTGCATTTTGGACCCTTTTGTTGACTGTGATGGCTACTCCATTTCTTCTAAGGGATTCTTGCCCACAGTAGTAGATATAATGGTCATCTGAGTTAAATTCACCCATCCCAGTCCATTTTAGTTCGCTGATTCCTATAATTTCGAAGTTCATTCTTGCCATCTCCTGTTTGATCACTTCCAATTTGCCTTGATTCATGGACCTAACATTCCAGGTTCCTATGCAGTATTGCTCTTGACAGCATGGTTAATAGCTATTTTCTAAGATTTGTAGTTTTCACAGTAGAGTAATAGAAGTATTAGCCTATTAGCTAACATTTATTTATCTTTAATTATGTACTAGGCACTGCTTATGTATATTAACTAATTCAGTGCTTTCAACAACCCTTTTAAGTTATTATCACTCCCAGTTTTCAGATGAAATGATTACTAAAGATCACACGTAGAAGTTTTAGATCCCAGATAAAACTGGTTTCAGACCTATCACATGTCAGTTTGATCTGCTGTAAAGGTTCATCTCAATTAAGTGTTATGAGGGGGCTAAATGTGTACATATAAGTATTTACATAATTATTATTTAAAAATTATTACATTAGACATTTATAATATTTATAATTCATTGAATTTTTTCTTGATAAAATTAATAAAAGCAAAGAAGAGTAGAAAAACGGTCCTTAAAAAAACTTTTATTATGGAATTTTTTTAAACATGCTAGAGGTAGAAAGAATATTGCAGTGAATCCCCAAGTACTCATCATTTGACAAGTCAACACTTTGTCGAACTTGAACTACTTGCCCCAAAGTAATTTAAATCAGCTTCAAGTGCTGTATCTGTTTTGTATGTAATTTGGTTTACACTTTTTTTTAAAGTGTATTTAAAAATAATTATACGTTCAGAATGAGTTGCAGAGACTTAAAAGTCTTGTGTGCCCTTTGTCCAGTTTGTTCCAGTGGTTACATCTTACATAATTACAGTATCAAAACCAGGAAGTTGACCCAGTGTGTGTGTATGGTTCTTTATCATTTTATCACATACGTAAATCTGTGCAACCAGTAAAGCTGCTTTTTGTTTTTTAAGAAAATATTCATGTGTACTATCAAAAGTGTTAATAAGGTCTGATTTACAAAAGCATAAGGCTTCTTAAAATTCCCTTTGTCTTTTCCAATATTTTTGAGAACTTTTTAGAAGAAGCTGTTAAACCCAATTCATAAAACCTTTGTTTATAAACATTTTCTCCAAAATCTACTTACTTTTGATAAATCATTAAGAAATGTGTATATATCTATACATGTTTGTGTTGGCTTATTTATTTTGTGCTTAAGAAATATAGCTGAATAAGGACATAAAATACCTATAGAGATAAGTATTCAACATATATCTTATTTTATAAATAGCATACCACTATTGCAATAATGAAGAGTTTTATAATGTTCATCTGTACGTGCAAATTTATCTTAATAGGAAGAGGAAGAGTATGAAACTAAAGGGGGACGCCGGAGAACATGGGATGATGATTACGTACTCAAGCGGCAGTTTTCAGCTTTGGTTCCTGCTTTTGATCCTAGACCTGGTCGAACTAACGTCCAGCAGACAACTGATCTAGAAATTCCACCCCCAGGTATAAGATATTTTATCTTTTGTGATTTAATTTTAATAGATTCCAGATTAAGTAGCAAGTACTATATAGTTTAAAAGGTAAGATACTACTTGTATATACAGATTATAAATAACAGGTTTTAGGAAAAACTATATATCAGCCACAAATCCTTAAAAAATACAGATTTTTTTTTAAAGGAACAAAATACAGTTATTTTATTGTGTTTTTTCAATTTTTATTGGAGTATAATTGCTTTTCAGTGCTGTGTTAGTTTCTGCTGTACAGTAAAGTGAATCAGCTGCACATATACACATGTCCTCTTGTTTTAGGATTTCCTTCCCACTTAGAGCACCACATAGCATTGAATATATTTTATTTTTTATTGAAGTGTAGTTGATTTACAATGTTGTGCTATTTTCTGTTGTATAGGAAAGTGATTCAGTTATACATATATGTATTCTTTTTCATATTCTCTGCATTATGGCTATTTACAGGATATTGAGTATAGTTCCCTGTGCTATGCAGTAGGATCTTGTTTATTTTATATATATAGTAGTTTATATCTGCTAATCCCAATCTCCTAAATTATCCCTCCCCCACTGCCTTTCCCATTTGATAATTATAAGTTTGTTTTCTGTATCTGTGAATCTGTTTCTGTTTCATAAATAAGTTCATTTGTGTCATCTTTTAGGTTACACATTTAAGTGATATCATATGGTATTTGTCTTTCTCTGACTTATTTCACTTATTTGTCTCTCTCTAACATACTTTATTTAGTATGTTCATATCTAGGTTCATCCATGTTGCTGTAAATGGTGTTATTTAACTTTTTATTGATAATAAAATATCTATATTATTCATAAATATTTATAAATATAAATTAATAAACATTGATGATTAATAAATATTGATTTATTAATAATTTTTATGTATTTAAGTCTAGTTCATTTTTTATATATACACACACACAACCACCTCTTCTTTATCCATTTCATCTGTTGTTAGACATTTAGGTTGCTTCCATGTCTCAACTATTAAATTACAGTGTTTTGAAAATACACTGTTTAAAGTAAGGCCTCATTTAAAGGTAGATAGTTTGTATTCTGTTTTCTACTAGATTAAAATTGTTAACCATTACTCCCATTCGGCTTTTCTTTGAAACGCCATGTAGTGGTTTCAGTTACGGCCTCTGGCGTCAGCCAGCCTGAGTGGAAGCTCCATCTCTTACAGCTCTGTCTGGGTGTGGCAGGCCCCGTGCACTCCACTGCCCTCCCGCCTCCACCCCGAAGGCTGTGTAGGTCCTAACCTCTAGAATCTGTGACTGTCACCTTAACACGAGAAAAGACTTGGGAGATGTGATTAAGAGTCTTGAGGTGGGGAAACTATCCTGATTTTCGGATGGGCCCGATGTAATCACAGGTGTCCTCGTGAGAGAGACAGGAGGGTCACAGGCAGCAAGCAGCAGTCAGAGTGTTGAGGGGGCGTGAGCCACGGAAGATGGGAGGCCTCCGGCTGCTAGAAAAAGCGAGGAAATGGGTTCTTCGCTGGAGCCTCCAAAAGAATCAAAGCCTTACCAGCCCATTTTAGATTTCTTACCTCTAGAATTGTAAGATAATACATTTGTGTTGTTTTGAACCACTCAGTTTGTGGTCATTTGTTACAGCAGCAATAGGAAACTAACATACTGGGCAAAGCCCTACCCTGTACAAGCCTGACTTTCCTCATCTGTTATATGGGGAAAATAGTATTCCTAGTTTGACCATGTAGTTAAAAGGATTAAATGAGGTAAAATACAGAAAGTGCCTAGCATGGTACCTGACGTGTGTCTCAATAAATGTCAGCTATTGCAATCAATATATTATCCTTCAAGAAGACTTAAATGTTAGTGTGGAATGTACTTTTTACTTGATAGAAAGATACTTATGTTAAATGTGAAAGTATGTACACTTTATAGTATAACGTGTGGTATGTGATGTAGTAGTATGGTGAGAAAGAGTATGAATAAAGATGTCTCAAATAGGAAAATCTATTCTAGGGAGTACAAATAGGAACAGATTTTTGATAGAGCTCTTTAGCAATGTATTTTGTATTTTTACTGCTACAAATTGGTATCATAGAAGTATTCACTGTATACAGAGATGATTATAGAAGTATTTTTAAAAACTTGGAGATGACCTTCATTATGTTTTGAGAATGGAATTGTTTCAGTTAAAGTACAATGGAATGTCATGCAGTGAATAAAACAATACCTTATAACACTGTATCATGACATGAGGAAAAGATTCCTGAGATTTAAAAAGAGAGTACATCACTAAATAATTATGAACCTAATTGTCTTTGTGTGTACTTCATAACACATTCAGTATACATAAAAAGTTGACAGGTCTTTAACTGAGTATGTGATTTTCTTCTGGATGTAAGATTATTAATAATTTTAGAGTTTTCTCATTTATAAAAATAAAATTTCCTGAAATACTCATTTAGTTGTCATGTATATCATAATAAAAACAAGAGATTCATATCATATGCATAAATTCTACTCTAGTACCCTTTAAGTAACATAGGTATATTCTTCTCATTGTTTTAAATTTAAAAAAAAAAAATTGAAAGTAAGAGAATCTTAAGTAGCTGATCTCTTTAACTTATTTATGTAAGAAGGGCTTAGATTTCATGTGACCTGTCTCCTGATGGCACAGTACTTTTTCTGGACTGCTTGTTTTAATGTTTTTCACATCTTCTGTATTTTTAGGAACACCTCATTCAGAGCTTTTGGAAGAAGTTGAATGTACTCCATCACCTCGATTGGCCCTCACTTTAAAAGTAACAGGTCTTGGAACAACTCGTGAAGTTGAATTACCACTCACTAATTTCAGATCAACCATCTTTTACTATGTACAGAAATTGCTTCAGTTGTCATGTAATGGCAATGTGAAATCAGATAAACTTAGGCGTATTTGGGAGCCAACATACACGTAAGAAATTTTAACTTAATATTTTAAGTAGATGTTTTCATAGTACATAAGCCAAGTATTGTATTTGTCAATGACTTTGGGTAAAATTTATGTAACATTTTAGTACTTTGTTTTCTAATCTGTAAAATGAGAGTAGTTGTGAAGAATCCATAAATTAATATATATAAAGTAGATTCAGTACTCTCTGGAATGCAGAGGGTGCTCAGTAAGTATTACTTATCATAATATTTATTATGTAGTAATATAAATTTTTACAGTTTAATATTAAACTATTATAATCATCCTGCATGACTTTATTTTTCTTAGTTTCTATATCTGAAGTTCTGTTAACATCATTGATAATCTTATATAATGTTCAATAAAGTAATCTAGGTCTTTCTAGATAGAAACAGAAGGTCAGAACAGAACAGAGACAGAACAGAAGGTCATCATGGCATACTCTTCCTTCAGTTTTAATTGGAATAATTAAAGTTTAAAATTTGATCTCAACTACCTTACATGAACATAAGGGCTCTTGGTCCTTTTTACTTTTATCCATCTAGATACAAACACATCTCATTTTTACAATATGTGAAAGCTATAATACAAGATATAGCATATTCATTTCTTTAAAAGTTCCATGCTTGATATATGTTTTCTTCTCAATAATGCTAAATTTATAAGCCACAACTTTTTCAGAAATATGATTTCTGCTATTTTCCCAATTTAACAGATTAATATTTTTTCTTAATATGCTTGATCTTAGTCAAAAGGCAGAGAAGTAATACATTTTTTCTTAATAAATTCTCCGAGTTCAGTGTTTAAGCATATAGTGACCTCATCATATGTTTTTAAAGAATTGAAGCCTTATTGGAAATAACACAAATCATTTGATTTATGAATTAACTTGAATAATATCTTCATGTTTAGAATTATGTACAGAGAAATGAAGGATTCTGACAAAGAAAAGGAAAATGGAAAAATGGTAAGTATTTTTAGGAAATGGATCTTTATTCTTGTCTAGTTAGTAAAAGAAAAGCAAAGAAAAACTAACACTGTGTTTCAGTTGAACAATTGAGGGAGAAATCATCAACATGGGATTCTTCAGATTAGCTTAAATGCATGATCTTGAAGCCACCTTATGAAATGCATGTGAAATAGCATAGACTTTATAATCAGGAAAGGCCAACATTTGGTTTTTCCTATTGTAGGGTTGTTGGTCTATAGAGCATGTGGAACAGTACCTTGGCACTGATGAATTACCAAAGAATGACTTGATAACCTACCTGCAGAAGAATGCAGACGCCGCTTTCCTGCGCCACTGGAAATTAACTGGCACTAATAAAAGTATTAGGAAAAACAGAAATTGTTCTCAGCTCATAGCTGCATATAAGGTATATATTGGCATCAAGACACTGTTTTGATTGGGAATGGCTTTGTGCTTTGTTTGCAGCTTTTTAAGTATTCTTGCAGAAGAGCAGTTCGTTGGGACATACTAAAAAATGAGGTTGAATTAACATTGTTAATATGCCAATGTTAAAATTTCAAATTTGGTTTGTGGCATAGGATCTAAATACATAGTTTTAACTGTGGCTTTCAGTAGTTATATTTTGAGAATTTTATTGGTTTAGAACACTTTAAGCCTTGACTTGGGTGATACTGTTTTTATTTTAAAAGAAAGCAGTTGTTTTTTTTTTTAAGAATTCGAGCCTTTTCACATTAATACTAACAGGATGATATATTGTTTTTCTTAAAAATGATTAATGGCTGGTTTTCCTGTTTCTCTAGGATTTTTGTGAGCATGGAACAAAGTCTGGGTTAAACCAGGGGGCCATTTCTACTCTTCAAAGTAGTGATATTCTTAATTTGACAAAAGAACAACCTCAGGCCAAGGCAGGCAATGGGCAGAATTCTTGTGGCGTGGAAGACGTCCTTCAGCTCCTGCGTATTCTGTATATAGTTGCAAGTGACCCTTACTCAAGAATATCCCAGGAAGGTCTGTAAGAATCCTTGTTTCATTTCTGTGGCATTTAAGCAAATAAGTCAGGTTATATTTTTATTAATTCTATTACTTTTACAGAAGGTGATGAGCAGCCTCAGTTTACTTTTCCACCAGATGAATTCACTAGCAAAAAAATCACAACAAAAATTTTGCAGCAAATTGAGGTAATAAAACCAGATAGTTGAACTCTTGAATCTGTTGGACTTTCAGAGTATTACCTCTCCTTCCTTTTCTTCCTCCCACCATTTCGCCTGTTAAGAATCGACTCTCTTTTGTCTTTTTTAACAATAGGACTTTGTTATTTGTTAATCTGTAGGAACCATTGGCATTGGCAAGTGGAGCTCTGCCAGACTGGTGTGAACAGTTAACCAGCAAGTGTCCTTTTCTAATACCATTTGAAACTAGACAGCTTTATTTCACATGTACAGCGTTTGGTGCATCAAGGTAGGAAGTGTGTCTTTTTATATTTTTGGAATAAATGTCTTTTTTAATGTTTTATATAAACTTAAAATGTACTTATACTTTGTATCAAGACTGATGCAGAGAATATATTGGTTTCTTGTAAAGAATTGTCAATATTTGGGAATTCCCTGATGGTCCAATGGTTTGGACTCCACGCTTTCACTGCCAAGGGTGAAGGTTCGGTTCCTGAAGTGGGGGAACTATGATCTTTCAAGCTCTGTGGCATGGCCAAATTAAAAAAAAAAAGAGTTGGCAACATTTAAACATTTTTTGCTTTCTGGTTGGATATAAGCACTCTTAGAACAGTGTGGGTTTAAGTACTGTGTTTTCCATCAGCTCACATTTATTGTACAGTATTTTAAGTGGTTTACATAAATTTTTAGTTGCTGAAATTCCCAAGAATATAAAATTTAATGCTTGAAAATAGCTTTGACATAACGTTAAAATATATCTTTTGGCCACTATTTTTATCCAGCTACCATATAACATACTATAAATTTTACTTTTTGTTTTTCTGTCTCCTTCATTAGATGAAAGTTTCATGAGGGCAGGAATTTCTGGCAGTTTTGTTCACTGCTGTCATTGTACTGTATGTTGTACTGTATGTAATGTGTGTATATTGTACTGCTGTCATTGTAGTTGCTCTGTAAATATTTGTTGAATGAGTGAATACCCAGAGTAATTTCAAAGTAGATATAAAAAACTTATAATTTAAATGGATCTGCATGTTTCCCTGATAAGTTACATTTGTTGCATCATTTTATATCCTTTACCAAGCATTTGTTCGCATAACACTGTAGGCAGTGAAGAACACTGAATGCTAACCATTAGACCACAAGGGAACTCCCTGATTTTTATAAGGGAGGAAATTGATTCTCAAAGTATATAGCTGATTGGTCTCAGGGTACCCCAAAAGTTATAGCACATATCGTAGATCTTTTATCTTGTCATTCTTAGTTCAGGAGTCTTTATTTCATCCTAGATGGGTTAACTGCATTGTTACAAAGAAAACGTTTCAAACTCACAATACTGTTTCAGTGGTGGATTCAGTTATTTAATAAAGATAGCTTAACCATTTTTTACGTTCTCTGATTTAGGAAATGTTTGCTTATATTATTAGGTATTATGAGTTTGTCAGTATTTTCATGTGTTGTGTGGGATTGGAGCACACGTCAGACCTTTATCTGTTAATCGCTAAAATAAAAAGAGAAAATACAGACTCAGTATTTCTCTATTTAAGGAAATAAAAAAAAAGATTAGTGTATTTGATCACCTGATAAAATACTATTTTTAAAATATTCTTAAATCTTTTGAATTTTGTTGCTTGTGTAGTAGTACAATCAACTGTTGCTGTAGGCTACAGCTACAGAGATGTTTTTCAATTTCAGAGCAATTGTGTGGCTACAAAACCGACGTGAGGCCACTGTGGAAAGAACAAGGACCACAAGTAGTGTGAGGCGAGATGATCCTGGAGAGTTCCGTGTTGGTCGTCTCAAGCATGAAAGAGTAAAAGTTCCACGTGGTGAATCACTGATGGAGTGGGCTGAGAATGTCATGCAAATACACGCAGATCGGAAATCAGTTCTTGAGGTACCACTATATAAATTTCTGTTAGTGTGCAGGAATGACAACTAGAGCGTCAATCTCTGTTCTTCCACTGCATAAAAACTACATTAGGGAAAAACTAACAAACTGCATTAGATAGAACTATAGAGGGATTCCTCTGCCTTCTGGGCAAACGCCTCCTCCTCTGGCAGGGCATCTTTCATGAGAGGATGTCAGCTCACCTCCTCAGGGTCAGGATCTCATGGCTTAATGAGCAGCAAAGAATATCTTCACTCATGAAGTGGGAGGGTGCTTGGTCCGTTTGAAGGACACTGCTCATTTCTTAGCAAAACCTGAACCAAGTAATCGTATTCACAAAGGATTCTGATACTCCAAATTTTACCTTTATATTAAGCTGTGCCACAAGATACCTGCTTTTTTGGAGCACATGTGTTTTGTATAATTGTTTAACATTGTGCTTGGTATTGTATCATGGGTTTTTATTTCTGTATTGAGAGATTTTATAGCAATCATCAGTAGGAAATTGAGTATATTTACTGCAGAGATGTTATTGTGGGCATTGTTGATTATATTCCTTATATATGAGAGACAAAGAAATACCTCTCCTGTCACAGATGTCAGTCACCTGATTTATTTTTTGGATCACAGACTGTGGTAAATATGATATATCTCTAGAAAATTTATAAGGCTCATGACTTTCACTTTAAAATTTCTATGCCTGGGAATTCCCTGGCAGTCCAGTGGTTAGGAGTCCACACTTCCATTGCAGGGGACACAGGTTCAATCGCCATGCGGCTCAGTCAAAAAGAAGAAAGAAATTTCTGTGCCTTCATCTGTTCTTTTACCCGTATATTCCTCTAATGTAGATAATTTTTAATTATTATTTTACTATGTACTATATATTTCTGTAAGCTGCCTCAAATTTTTGGAATACATGGACTGTGTATAAAAATCCTTAAAGTGATTGCTGGAAGTCAGAAATAAGTGAAAGAGTTTAGGTTTTAGTGTCACATAGACAGACACACAAACACACAGATCTGTATACCATCATTTCCCTCAAGCAAATGATATAACCTCTTTATCTAAAATTTGGTTTGCTCTGATGTGAAAAGGAGATGATGGTGTATTTTGTAGGCTTGTTGTGAGAAGTAAACTGATGTATGAACAAGGCTAACCACAGTGTTTGAATATGGAATAGTGTACAACAAATCAAATTTCTCTTTAGAAAAACTAAAATAAAAACTGTTGGGTGGGTTATACTACTGCTATTTAAAAAATAACATATATTATAGTAGGACTGGATTTTGGCAAGAATGGGATCATTACAGAAATTATTTTTTTAAAGCTTGCTTTCCCTCGTAATTTATTTGTTCGTGTTTAGGTTGAATTTTTAGGAGAAGAAGGAACTGGTTTGGGGCCCACGTTAGAGTTCTATGCTCTGGTAGCAGCAGAGTTCCAGAGAACTGACTTGGGAGCTTGGCTTTGTGATGACAACTTTCCAGATGATGAATCTCGCCATGTAAGATTTATTTCCTATTTCATGATTTGATTTGCGATTAAGCTTTTAGAAAGTTAAAAATCAGATATGTTTTCAGAATATAAGCCAGGTTTTCTGACTCTGCTTTTATTACTGAATAACCTTGATATTATTAAAAGATAAAATTTAGTCAATAAAACGTATTTAATAAACTGTGATTATAGATACTATCTAGCACAGTTAATATGTTTATTGTTTATGGTTCTTTTGATTTTATTTGCATTTCTCCTTCTAAAAAAATCAGGTCGATCTTGGAGGTGGATTGAAACCTCCCGGCTACTACGTGCAGAGATCATGTGGACTGTTTACGGCTCCATTTCCACAAGACAGTGATGAGCTTGAAAGGATCACAAAACTCTTTCATTTCCTTGGAATTTTCTTGGCCAAATGCATTCAAGACAATAGACTTGTGGACTTACCTATTTCCAAACCTTTCTTTAAACTTATGTGTATGGGGGACATTAAAAGTAATATGAGCAAACTGATTTATGAGTCACGAGGTGACAGAGACTTACACTGCACTGAAAGTCAGTCTGAAGCTTCTACAGAAGAAGGGCATGACTCACTCTCAGTAGGAAGCTTTGAGGAGGATTCAAAATCAGAATTCATTCTAGATCCCCCCAAACCAAAACCGCCAGCTTGGTTTAATGGAATTTTAACTTGGGAAGACTTTGAACTAGTAAACCCACACAGAGCCAGATTTTTAAAAGAAATTAAAGACCTTGCCATCAAGAGGCGCCAGATCTTAAGCAACAAAGGTCTTTCTGAAGACGAGAAGAACACAAAATTACAAGAACTAGTGCTGAAGAATCCATCAGGCTCTGGGCCTCCACTTAGCATAGAGGATTTAGGGTAAGTCTTATATATATATTAATTCACTTACACATATATCTAAGCCTACTTCAGCCTAACGGATGAGTAAGGTCTAAAACTTTTGTCCCTTTGTCTTCAGTAATTTGCAATAAGCCTGGTCCCCAGTGACTGCATTAACTAACTCGGATACTGCAGATTTTTCATAAAATTCTATTAATTTGTATCCATGTAATTATTATATCCTTGTTACATTTAACTGTGATCTTGGATTGATTGCAAGGCTTTTGCTTTCCTTTTTTCCCTTCCTTATTTTGATAATATCGAGAAGTTATGTTTAATATATTCAAGGTTTGATTTGAGGTGAGAATCACAACAGAGCATTAATAACTTAAGTAAAGCAACAGTTCCTGTTTTTTTTTAAATCTTATAAACATGTTGCTGCCATAATTCATTGCAGAAATCTTTAGTTCATTAATTTTGTGCCATAAAGAGGAAGTGAAACATGGAAACATGAAAGGTGATGTTTCATGCGACCTCTGCAGAACTAGGTTTGGTAACAGTTGTCCAGATAATTTTCCTGCACAGGGGTTTGCATTTTAAAAGGTCCCATATTTATAATCTGGTAGAGTGATTTTGCTATTGTTGACTGTAGGGAAGGGATCATGGTTTCGGCAGCAGTGTTTTAAAATTAAACACCAGTGTTAGTTGAATGTTAATCTAATTCTTTTTTTTCTGCCCTCCCAGTTTAAATTTCCAGTTTTGCCCTTCCTCAAGAATATATGGTTTTACAGCTGTGGATCTCAAGCCAAGTGGTGAAGATGAGGTATAAATTTTGCTTTTAAAATGTTTGTAAATTCAGAAAAATCCTCTTAAAATATTCCTCGATATTAACAACTACCTTGACAAATTTTCCTTTGCAGATGATAACAATGGATAATGCAGAAGAATATGTGGATTTGATGTTTGACTTTTGCATGCATACGGGTATTCAGAAACAGATGGAAGCCTTCAGAGGTAATTTTTAAGGGTCTTTAGCTTAATCCCACTCCTTGTACTTTGAGACACTGAAATTAAGGTTCTGCTATGCTCAAAAATTATATGCTAGTAATCTCTAGATTTGTCGTCTAGTTTTTGTCTTCCCAACAGTTAGGTCCTACAGGGTACCCAGAACAGATGGAAGCATTTTCAGGCGTAGCATACCCTAAGCTTCCCTTCCTGAGTGATGAGGGACCTACTCTGGCTTCTGTTTTTTCCTTTGTAAGTGGATACAAGGTTGCATACATGATCAGGATGAATTAAAGCATATTAGAACCTAAAGTCTTCAGGTAAAGAGTGAGGTAAAATATATTGAACTGCTTATCACTTACTAGTTTTAAAAATGAGAACTTAGCTTTGGCTGGCTTGTATGACATAAAGAACTGGTTGGGAAATTATCAGAATTTGGCTACTGACCATAGTGTCTGAATATTCTCTCTATATATACATCTGTGATACTAAGCAAAGATTTCTGTGCTTAAAACCCTAGCACAGTTTTTATTTCAAGCTACTTTAATTTGTATTTGCTTTTTCAAATATTTATATTTGTCTTCTGTCCATTTAGTTGAGCATTATGATTTGAAATTTGTGATTTTGAAATTGTAACTTGGAAACTCAGTTGTGTTTTGTTTTTTTGCTGTGTGTAACATGTAGATGGGTTTAATAAAGTTTTTCCAATGGAGAAATTAAGTTCCTTCAGCCATGAAGAGGTCCAAATGATTCTTTGTGGAAATCAGTCGCCATCCTGGGCGGCAGAGGATATTATCAATTATACTGAACCTAAGTTGGGTTATACACGTGACAGGTATGTGTGGGTTATTTCCTAAGATAAACAGATTGTTTATGTTTGTCTTAGAAAGGCAGGTTCTCTAAATGGCTCAGTGAATTATATGCATAAAATGAGAAAGCTGTTAAGTCTTACCATTATCAAGATGCATATTCATTGATAAGCCTGAGTTTATATAGAAAGTCACCTGAATCTTGGCTGATGTTAAGATTCCTTTACTCACTGTATTTTAACTGTTCATCATCTTAACAGTTGGGTCATTTATAAACCCCTAGGCTTTGTTGCTTTTATAGTAACCTTTATTTTTAAATGTTTTAAAACTTACAGAAAAGTTGAAGAATAGTTAAGAATTCTTATGTATTCTTTACCCAGCATCACCAGTACTTAACATTTTGCTGTACTTTTATATTATTTCTCTCTCTACACACACACATACTTTTTTTTCTGAACCATTTGAGGATATGATGCATATACCATCTGCGTTTACTCTGCATTGTATTAATGTACATTGTGAGATTTCTCTCACATACCCATAACTTGTTAGCAAATTAGTGATTCCATATTATTAGCTAATCCATGGTGTACATTCTAGCTTTGTTGATTATTCCAGTGATGTCTAAAAGCACTCAATTCACTCCTATTTGCCTCATATCAGGAAATTATATTTAGTTTTGATTTATAAGTTTTCAAAGTAATGTAAATGAAAAAGTATTATTATTTTAAACTTAAGTAACATTGTACATATAGCTTTTTTAAAGTAAACTTTTTATTGAAGTATAACAGAGAAGTACACAAATTGCATGTAGAGCCTGAAGAATTTTCACAGAATGGACACAACTGCATAATTGGTACCCAGAATGAGAAAAAACTCTGAAAGTCCCTGTCCCCATTTACTATTTCCTAGTCATTAAATCACTATTTCCATTGATTAGGTTTGCTTGCTTTTTGAACTTTAATAAATGAAATTATGCAGTATGTGTTCTCTGAGGTCTGGTTTCTTTATCATTATGAAATTCATTTGTGGCATATAGTGATACTTTATTTCACTGTAACAGTTACAAATAGGGATTATTTCAGATCCCCGTTGCTAGTGTAGCCATACTTGGACCAACTAAGCATGCTCATCCTGAGCTTTTCTGATTTGCTAGCTTTGTTGCTTATTTAATTCCTATATGTCATTGGTATTTCTTACCTTTATAAGACAGCCTTTGAAGGATATTTTTTAAGTAGTTTGTATCAGCTCATTTCATACTTACCCCAAAGTCTCCAGGCAGTGTGGTTCTTCTTGACATGTGGATATTCGTTTTGAGGGGTTATCACTGGCTTATAAAGTAGTGGGAGTATTTTTCATTTAAATCAGCTATCAGATCACTGTAACTCTGTGTTTCTTCTTGTAGCCCTGGCTTCCTTAGGTTCGTGCGGGTTTTATGTGGTATGTCTTCAGACGAGAGGAAAGCATTTCTGCAGTTTACCACTGGTTGTTCAACTCTGCCCCCAGGGGGACTGGCTAACTTGCATCCCAGGCTCACAGTTGTACGCAAGGTACAAACTCTAGCTACTAGGCAATGTAAACCAAATTTAGTTACCTGAGGGTTGAAAGGAATGCATATTTAAAGTCATGGTCTTCTATTATTTTCAATTCTGTTTCTGTGTTAGGTTGATGCTACTGATGCAAGCTACCCATCAGTGAATACATGTGTGCATTATCTAAAGTTGCCGGAATACTCTTCGGAGGAGATCATGAGAGAGCGTCTGCTAGCTGCTACAATGGAGAAAGGCTTTCATCTCAATTGAGCTTTGAAGTGCAATGTGAGACATCAGAGACTTAAAATTCTAGTGAAGCCTCTTGTGTTTGTTTGCAGAGAAGTATATGATCCTCCATGCTAATGACACTTGCCTTTTTTTCCACCATTAAGGCTTTAAGAACATGTGGAATAAGTTTGTTAGCTGCTAATGACAAAACAAATCCTTTAACTATCCAGCCAGCAAGTACATAGCACAGAACACTGTGTGTTGCTCCAAGGGCTCATGTGACTGGAATAGGTGGTTCTACTTGACTGTTCCAAAGAGCAGCTTCTCAGATCTTCAGTGTTCACTGGTAAATTTCTAACAGTGTATTTGTGTAAAGTTTGTCATTTCATACTTCATACACTACAGTTGACAGTTGCCATCACTGATCCCTGTTTTGCTGGCTTTTAAGCTACTTGGTCAAAAATCCTGCTTCCTTAAAACATAGAGAGTTAATGAGCATCTCCAGCTTTTTCTTTTCCTCTTTAATGATGCCTGCACTATCAGAGTATATCTAGTGTTCTCTCTTTTGTTTGGCATATAATCATACACAACCTTTTTATTTCTTTGAGGTGGGAGTATATTTTTATTTCCTAAATGCCATACTATAAAGATCAAATTCTTAAGTGTGTTTGTGCAGTTCAAAAATAAAAGATATATTAAGGGGGGGAGGAAAAAACACTGGTTTAGATGCAAGGCACACTTAAAGCAAGTTTTACTTTTGGTTGTATTTTCTTTGTATATTATAAACATTTATTTAACTTGTTGCAGTTTGAAGTAAAAAAAAATTTCCAAAATGTATGCTCAACAATAATCATTAAAATGTTTGCAGCGTACAAAACTGTGTCATGTGACTGTTTCACTGCAGCCATCAGACTAAGAGCTTAAATACTTGTCATTTTGAATCACTGACATTTCATTTTTTGAAATTACTACAGGAAGAAATGTTTTTTCTATGTAAATAAACTTTACTGAGACTGGAAAGCTAGCAGAAACACACATCCACTTGCTTGTGATCCAACTCTTACCTTCTGTCTTAAAGTATTCTTCAGCTAAAAATAGCCATGTTTTTGTGTTAACTTTTTATACACCAAATCTGCTACTTACCATTGTATTTTCAGTGATGTGTAAGTGTAAGATCCAAGAATAATTTTTGAATGTTGTGTTGGTGTGAAAAGAAACCACTGGGATAATGCTGTTTCCTCCTTTTTAAAAGAGGGGCTCTATTTCCATTTCCAAATTGTTTTGATTTATCATATCTATGCATTTAGGTAAAAGTAAAGTCACTAGGCCTGATTTAGCCAGATGGCTTTTATAGGAATAAAAAAGCATTTTTGGGAATCATCCACTATTTACCTGTTTAAAAGGTATGGTCCCTTTCTACATTAGAGATTTCTCCCAATGCAGTCAATCATTTGAGTAATGTTTCTGTTCTCTGCATGAGAATATTATGACTGTGTAATCAGAGGCAGCATTTAAATAATTCACCTTATTGTTATCTTCACAGTTCTCTGTGAGAATAAAAGTTAATAAAGCATAATAGCAATATTTAAATGTATGACCTCTGCTTTAGTCCCAAAGCAGTAGTGGTGATTGTCTCAAAAAAAGTCATGGATGCATGACTAGAACTTTACATTAGCGGTAGAATTAAAATCCAGTTTATGTGTGTAGTATTGCCATTATTTAAGTCTCTAAAACATCTGTCAGTAGCCAACTTTTATCAAGACTAAGTCTAGTAAGTACATACGTGCTCAGTGGCTCAGTCATATCTTAACTCTTTGCAACCCCATGGACTGTAGCCCCCGTCCAACCTCCCCCTGCATCCCTGCCCCTCTGTGCATGGGATTCTCCAGGCAAGAATACTGGAGATGGTTGCCATTTCCTGCTTTACGGGATCTTCCCAACCCAGGAATTGAGCCCGTGTCTCCTGTGGCTTCTGCATTGGCAGGTGGATTCTTTACCACTAGCCACCTAGGAAGCCCCTAGTCTAGCACAGGGGTCAGCAAACTCTGGCCTGCCATTTGGTTTTGTGTGGGCCATGAACTAAATATGGTTTTGAATTTTTTAAGTGGTTGAAAAAAATCAAAAGACTAATAATATGATGTGAAAATTTTATGAAATCCAGATTTCAGTGTCCATAAATAAACGGTTTTATTAGAACATAGCCATGCTGATTTATTTTTATATTATCTGTGGATCTTTCTGCATTACAATGGCAGAACTGAGTGGTTACAGCAGAGACCATATGGCCCACAAAGCCTTAAATACTCACTATCTGGCCCTTTGCAGAAAAGGTTTGCTGAATCCCGGTCTAGCACATTGCTACAGCAGGTAAAATTGATGAGTCTTGTTATACAGTGAGTAACTCTGAAATGCCAGGATTTCTGTAGAATGAAAAGTCCAAGGACAAGGTAAAGCTGCCCAGTCTGAGACATAAATTTCATGTGTGAAAATCATTAAGCTGGTAGTCACAGTTGAGCAAGAAACCTGAAATGAGATGACACAGGCTGTCACAGATGGAGAGTCACATTACAGTTCACTTTGTATGAGTCAAGTATTATGAGACATCTGCTTGGGTCTCCACATGGAGTATTTTTTCCAGTGGTATCTACCTAGTATTTTTTTTGTTGTTGTTCTCTCAAGGTACTAAAATCTGTGCCAACGTGTTATTTAAATGCTATTTTGGTATGACCCAAAAATTAATTTTATGCACTCCCTCGTTACTTCTGGTGTACCAGTTTCAGCAGTTACCTGAATGTGCTACTGATTAAGTGCCGATCAACTAGGACAGTGTTTTCCAACTAATGTCTCAGAAAGACCTCCAAAGCACTTTGATCTAGACTGGGCTTTCCCCAAACCTTGGTTTCTCGATGCATACCATTCACTGTTCTGGCAGGTCAGAAGCCTTTCCTCTGCCTTCCTGAACTGAATCCAGAACAAGATCTTTTGGAATTCATTACTGACTGATTGCCTTGGTCTTCACAGACACAAACTTTTGAAGTATATAAGTGAACTTTTATAAACAAAGAATTTTAACAAAATTCCTCCTACACATACATGAGAGAGTGAGAGATAAATTAATAGTGAATGAATTAGTACCTAGAGTGTCCATTTATGTCCTCTTTTGGAGGGTAGAGTGTTGTAGGTAAAGTAACTCTTGAATTCCATAGGATGGCACGATATCTTCATGTATCAAGACTGTATTACTATTTCCTCCATTGTACCTGCCCTCCTACCCCTAACGTGCACATGAACATGCTTTTACCTAAGGCAGTTCTGCATCTTCTACTGTTGATGAAGCAGCAAAAGCATAATATAGAAAGATTTGGGAGGATCGGGGTATTGCTCTTCCTATAGTGGCTTAGCAGTTTTCTTTGCTTTAGGAGAAGGAGAAGGGGTTGAAGGAATAAGAGAGAGAGGGGTAGATTCACAGTAACCTGAACAGAGATTCTCTTGCATTCCAGTTTTAGGCTTTGAACTAAATTTCATTTACCAATAAATTTACTAATAAGATAAACTCTTTACAGTGTGGCACACAGGATAGTCAGTTCTGTGTGTGCTCAATCGCTCAGTTGTATCTGACTCTTTGCAGCTCCAAGGACTGTAGCCCACCAGGCTCCTCTGTCCATGGAATTATCCAGGCAAGAATACTGGAGCAGGTTGCTATTTCCTCCTCCAGGGGATCTTCTGACCTAGGGATTGAACCTGTGTCTTCCTGCATTGGCAGAATTCTTTACCACTGAACCACCTGGGAAGCCTTCAGGATAGCAGTAAGGGCTGTCTTAATGTTTGGCCACTCGTTATAGTAACATTCTTTATAGGGTTAATTACATGATGGCGTTGTAATTGTTAAGTACCTATAAAATATGTATCAGGCTTTTAGAAACCGGAAAGAATTTTTCACTAGGTACACACATTAGGTAAACTTTTGACTTTTTAAAGAAAAAGATAGCATTCAGAAAACTATTATTCAAAGTGCTATTCATGTTCAAGTTAATTTTAACAGTTTATTGGCCAACGGAGAGCTCTCACATTTTCTTCGCACCCGGTGGTGCTATTCCTGAATTTATCTCTTTGCAAAGTCAAGCAGAAACCAAAAAGTTCCCCTTAGTACTACTCAAAATCTAAACAAGTGAGGAAAAAAAAAATGCTTATGGTTAGAAAATAAAACTTGTCTCTCTGTTTAGAGAAAATTTTTCTTTGTACATCATATTTTAAAATACACTTTTGTTTTCCATTTAGGAACTGTGGAACACCCCTGTTTAAAAGTCTTTGGAAGGATAGCCTGTTTTGAGATGTTTGGTCTTCCAGGTGCTTGTGGGCTAGCGATGTTTAGAGGTACTCCATGGTATTCTCATTTCCTTTGAGTCGATGTCTGGCAGAGCTTCTCTGTTTTCAGCTGTCTGACATCTTATCAAGAATTAGCAGAGGGGCAAGAATTCTTGCCCGATTTGTTTCCACAATGCAGCCATTTAATACCATCTCATCCAAAATGATGTGTACTTTATCCAAATTAAACATTATCTAGGGTTATTATTAAGGAAATTAGTTATAGAAATGTTAACATTCAGTAAATAACAATTTATGACTTGGAATTTTTCTAGTGTAAGTTAGTCTAAGCATGAAGTTTTTTTCTAACAAATTTCCTAAAATTAAAATTGGTGTTTATACTAGAAATTATTACCTTCATGTACACAGATACACCTAGTTTCACCTTGGTTAGGCTAACTGGACAGTAGACATAGAAATGGAGCAGCTTTAGCTTTTAACCTTTTAGCCAGAGGGAGAGAAAATGAACTAAGAGCTGGAGAATAAAGCAAGTAAATTTTGGTAAGAGTGTGTGACCTGACCTCAAGAACAATATCTTCCCAGGCAGTAATAACAACAGTAGATAGCCATGACTTACTGAATACTCATTATGTTCCAGGCATTGTGTTGAGTGTTTTACATATATTATTTCAGTCTTCTCTTTGTTTCTGTGATGTATGTGCTAACATTATTCTCATTTTACACAGGAACAAACAGGCTCAGCCATTGTCCATGGTCACATGGCTAGTAATTGTAACTTTGGAATTTACACCCAAAGTTTTGGCTCAGCTGCTCCGCTTCCAGACTTCTCAGGAGAGGCCCAAGGCTGTATACAGCCTCACTCCACCCTCAAACTTCCACCCCAAAAAATGCCTTTTCAACACAGCACCCTTAGCATGAGACAGGCTAAAGAAAAAAACAATCAGTAGGAGAAATGAATGAAGAAAAGCAAGGCAATGCTGACTTAATTCCCAAGGAGAAAAAAATTCCAATTTTCAAGGGAGTACTTGTAAATGGAGCGTTCTAAAAATACTCATTTGAGAATTATGGAGCCACTTTAGCTTCCTGATGTTCCTGGTAGAAAGTCAGGACAGGGCATAGGGGAAGAAGAAAATACTGTTAGACTATGATATCTAGCTAATTAAAGAGAGCCAAATTCTTCCCCCAGGAGCTCCTTCATTTGAGTACCTAACATTTCCTTTGTGAAATTGAACTAGAAGACAGAATTAAACTCTGAGGGTGATGATGGCAGTGGTTGAACATTTCTAAAGTCTACACTTTACTATCTTAGGTTTCCATTACCAAAGAGCAGGATCTTGGTCTGTTTAAAAAAAAAAACTGATGGATTATTTCAAATAGACAAACTTCATTCAACAGGGAGTGATTAAATGTACAAGGAGAGTTCATAATTAGTAAATCTTTGTAAAATGAGTCACTAGTAATTCCAGATGTTCAAGGCTATTGTACTTGTTTAGTGAAGTACATCTACAAAGAATGAAACAATCCTGTGAATGACTTTTAAGTTTCTATTAGGTTCTGTGTTAATACCTCATTAAGCTCTGTGAAAATAGTCCTTCCGCAGAATAAACTGTTTTTCAGGAGCCCATGGGAACTGTCCTTAAGTGACCCAGAAAAGAAAAAAAAAAGCTTTACTCTGTTATACCTATTAATAATGTCTTCCAATTAGATGGATGATTGCTTTACCATGGCCAACTTGGGATTGGAATATTAGGCCTTTGACTTAATCCTGTTCGCTGGACCCAGAAGCCAGAACTTAGAAGCCACAGGAAGGCAGGAATGACAGTGAGGTATAAAAAAAGGCAGAAGCACAGGTGGCTGCATGAAAAAATGCCCTATAGAATCCCCTGTTGTATTTTTTTGGTGGCAAGGTGTTGTTTTTTTAATTATAGTTTACTGACAGTGTGTTAATTACAGCTGTACAGCAAAGTGATTCAATTATACATACACATTCATACATATGTATGTAACACCAGTATTCTTTTTTAAATGTTCTTTTCCGTAATGTTTTATCATAGGACACTCAATATAGTTCTCTGCTATATAGTAGGACCTTGTTATTTTAAGGCCTAGTGCCTTTGAAAATGTCAGTCTATCCAGGGTGATGCTCAGATAGGAGATCTCATTTTAATGTAGTCTATTTGAATTGATGCAAACTGCTCTGAAAGACTGCGCCATCTCTGGCAAGAAGATGATCAGCAATTCAGATATCCCCTTGAACAATTAGCCCAATGTTTTGAAATTCAGATTAGAATATACTGCTGAATCTTTTCGACCACCGACATCTTTACATTACAAGGTCAAGATCCTTCGGTAAGTTCTGAATTTCCCAACATGCTGGAAACATGAGTTGCTTAATGAGGTCATTCTGTACTGTGGGCATGTGATGGCCTGTCTATCTGACTATCTGGCTCAAACCCCTAATAATCATGCAAGTTTCTGGCACGCTACAGGGAAACCACAGACCAACTCCAATGTGAGGCAAAAGCCTGAAAGCTGATTTCCTCTTGGAATCATGTGACACCTTTAAAATAAGAATCCAGCTGTTTTTCATATCTTGATTTGGTTCATAAGCAACTTGTACACACTGGCAAAGCCAAGAGTAATGGCATTTGGGCTACTAGCCAGGTGAGCAGGGACCAAAAAAATGCCCTATATGCCAAGGCCCATGGCAATAAACAGGCAAACACACCTCAGCCCTGACATTTGGAATAGGAGGAAGCAAGAAAGGCATAGGCTGAAGCTCTATTAATGTGATGAGCTATAATGACTATTTTAAGAGGGTCCAACTTTCAGGTTATACTAACTCATCTGACTTAAAAAATCCTTGAGGAAATTTCTTTCCTCTCATGGGCACCCTAAGGTTGGGGCTGACAGGAACTAAAAATAGCTTCTCAGAGAACAGATTCATAAAGCCGCATCTTTTCTCAACCCAGAAATCTAAGAGCCTTTCTGAATGCTGGGTAATGTGGATTGGAGTTAAATATTGTAGGGCCCCAGTAATATTTGTGCCACTTGAAATCAATTTTTTAATTAAAGTGATTGAAATGTTTCTGGTTTATATATTGGAATTTTTGTCTCTGGATCATAAAACACTTCTTGAACAGAGTATTTTAATACCACCCTGGTGGTCTAGTTCTCCTTTAGGAAGAGAAAAACCGAGCAGCATACATTCAAAGAGGACCTCAAAAGCAATTCCAGTAAAGAACCTCGCCTAGAAACTAAACTTTCTGAGTCTATATTTTGCTCTCAGATCCCTTGTCTTCTTATTTTTCTTTCTTTCTTCTCTTTTTTTTAAAGATCATAGCTAAGCAAAGTTCTTTTAGTAGGGTGGGGGGAAAAAAGTACTCATTTTTTTATACTTCAACTCAATTTCTCATATAATTATATTAAGTTGCAAAGGGCTAAGTTGTTCACATTTCCCACAGAAAATCAAATACTACTGTAAACAAGATTATCATCTTGAAGATTCTGCATAGTTTTGGATATATTCTCCCTGTAATAGTCTTCTGTTCACTTCTATGCTTTGTATGGTCTTTTGTTAATTAGGTCACTGAAAAGGGGTGTTGTCTTTTTTTGTTAAGTAGGTTTTCCATAAAGACCCACTCCTATTCTGAGAGCAACAAAAACATTTGTATAATTTTTTTTTTTAGTTTATATAGGCTTATGTAAAATAATACATAGATCAAACTCAGAATTGGGGTCAATGAACCTGTCATTTCTTGTGGTTCCCCCCTGCCCCTGCCCAACTCTCTGTTAACAGCTTCTCATAACTTGCTTTCCACTGTCCCTAAGTAAACAGAACCAGCAGCATGGAACCAAAGGAGTGTGGGTGAGGCAGAGGGACCTGGTGAGGAGGGAGAGGAGGAATAGTAGGGGGTGAATATGGTATCTATAGGACTCAGGAACACATGTAAAGGAAACAGATGGTGAAAGCTAGGGAGAGCCAAAACAGTCTCGAAGGCAGAACTGTTTAATTTGGAACTTTCATATCCCTTTCCCAGGTGAATGGCTTGGAACAGTCCCTTGGGGGCTGTTGCTAATTCTGAGACTACTCCTAACCTGACTGGAACTCATGCTGGAGAGGCCCATGGCCCCCTTACCCCTCCATGCCTGCCCTTCTCAAAGACTGGATTAGCTGCACAAATTCCCTTGGGCTCATGGGCCAGCTCTCTTCTCTTGCAGCTCTGCCTCCAGTGGACATAGTTTCAAAAGGGGGGGTGGGGGGAGATGTTTAGAAGTCTCTGAGGTGAATTTCACTTTTGGAAAGCAAGCTCTTATTAAGACATTCAGGTACTCTCTTCAAAATGTTTCATGGTTTCCAACTCCTCCAACCAAACAAAGCCCAGTGTTTCTCTAAAACTTCTTCTCTAATTCAGAAAACACCAAGACAACAAATGGTGACAGACACTTTATGCAAGTTTTCTTAGAGACTAAATTGCTACTGTCTACTCCAGATGATTATGAATTTTCAAAAACTGTGTCAAATTTAATCTATCAAATTTATAGCCCTAGAATCAAAGGCCCTGGAAGCCCAGAGACCAACACCAGCCCTGTCGCAAAGCAGCACTATGGGTTAGCAATCCACAGAGCAGCTTTGGGGCAGAGCAGGTACCCATCCATCCCTGAGCCTCAGCGTCCTCGTCTAAAAAGTGAGACTTAAACTGATGATTATATCGTTTTCTTCCAGCTCCAAAGTAGGCAAACCCTCTGACTCTAAAATTAACCTTCAGGGACAAGAAGGCTAGTTTCTCCTTTCTGATAGTTTCAAACCATTCCTGATGTAATCACATGCTTCACCATACCTCAAAAGAAATTCTTTTGTAATAACAATTAATTACTGTAAATTTCTGAGAGACCATTTCAGTTCCTTTAGAAGCTGCCGCTTCAGTGTTGGATGACTTGCCTGGAGAATTTCTTTGGTCTTCTTGCCAATATTTCTGTAGCCCCAAGTTGAACAAGTACTTTTGTGATTTCTCATTAAGTCAGGCTGGAGTTATCTCCTATTTGGAGAAGCCCTATTCTGGTTTCTGGACCTCTAAAGGTATTTGGGATTTTAGGAAAGTAATGAAGGAACGACAGACACACTCCCCACTGGGACCTGACAGGGGCTGAGGGCAAATCTTGATAGTGTTTCTTACTGTTGACAGGGTCCCTTTGTTCCTCCTGGGGTACACCCTGCAACTAGCTGAGTCACAGTGCAGACAGGATGGAGGCCTTCCCTACTCCCCACCCTCAGTTGCAGTAAAGAAGGCATGTTCCATATCACCCATATTAGCTTTAAGGTTCTGGAATTAATTGTTCAGGTTTTTGGGCTTTAAGCACTTGTGAAATAAAAACATAAGTGTTCTAAAGATTTTTTTTTTAAGATATTTTTGAATGAAGACGATGTTTCTGGATTCTAGACCTAGCCTGTATTTGTGGGCACAAGAATATAAATAGGGACCCCAGCCTATTCCTGACTTTTCCTCTCATGTGTGTGTGTGGAATACCGCTGTCCCCACCCCAGCCTCTCCATCATTCCTGCCTCAGTCCTGGGTTACGAATGGGAGAGAGGCCTGCGGAGGCCTGGGCGGCAGGCACTGGGATGTCCAGGTACCCACTAAATTCTGAGGATCCAGGTAGCTCAAGGGTGGTCAAGGAGTGGATGGGGGACCCCGCAGGCTCTCGGTGAGTACCCTTATCCCACAGAGAGGAATGCTGCTGAGGAGAGCTAGAGGGGGGTCCTCTAAAAGCACACGGCCCAGGAAGGGGACCCTGGCTGTCCAGGTCCAAAGACGGCACTGCTGCATTCCACTCTAGCCCAAATAAACAAAGTGTTTAAGCCTCTTCAAAGGCCCCATATACCAAAAGGGGTGTCAAGGTTTTCGGTGCCTTCATACACGGCAGGTGTGCCCCGAGCTGGGGAGGAACCAGACTTCTCCCACACAGCGCGGTTCATCGGTGCCACCCTCTGACTGTTTAGCGGAAGGGGGCTCGAACTGCTCCTTTGAATTATGACTTGTCTGGAGAGTTCAGCAACCCTGGGGCTCTGGAGCTGAACACATTTTGAGAGGCTCCTCAGTTGGTTCCTAAGAACTATCTTGATTCGTGGAATTTGAAGTCTTTAATCAGTCTACCAAAGTATCAGGTAGAGCAAACTTTCCTGAGAGAAGCCCTCAGGCGCCAACCAGCCCCACAGGTGGAGTGGAATGTGAAGAGGGTCCAGGAGCTGCTACGGTGCGACACGAAGGATTTCGGTCACTGTCCGTGCCTGGCCCCTGGGGTGCAGGCTGTCCTACCCGACACTACTCTGCAACAGAGAGTTCCCACCCAGTAGAAGGGTTTTCACCAAGCCAGAATCTCTGTCCTGATTTCTGGAGCTTAGGTCATTTCTTTTTAACATTCCATCTGCCTTGTTCTATGACGTTAGTCTTACCAGAAGTAGAACAAGCCTGTACTAGGGAGATATGTAAACGGTACTCTGAATTCCCCAGTGTCTAACCCTGCAGGCTCTGGAAAACCACCCCCTCCTTTAAAAGCTACAGGGTGCTAATGTCTCTGGAGAGAGACTGTGAGTAAAGAGCTTCTTGGGAATTCTGTGAGGCTAAATCATGTCTGAACCCGTAGGGACTGACGCGGAGGGCTTTCCTAATCTAAGCAAACACAAAGGTCATGACCTGTTCCGGGTAGCTGGCTCCAGGTTGCAACTGGGTTAGCTGCTGGTTCAACGTCTCAAGGCCCAAGGAAGCTACTTTCCGGGCACAATGTTGGTTGCTCTGGCAGGTTCCCAGGTACAAGCTACCAGAGTGCTGATGCAGGCTGTCTCTGGGCAGCACCTCTAAAGGGCTCCCTTGTCTTCCCGTTAAACACTTGTGTGGAGAAGTCTTCCCTGGAGGCCTTTGATGTGACAGTTTAAACAGAACTATGTATGAGGCAGAGTAGAGTTGTGGGTTTGTAATGTGACTTTTTTTCAGATGGCTGAGGGTAGAAACCCTTTAAGAAGGTCAATAGAAGACTGGTGCCCCTGCCCTTGCCAGCTGTCGTTCTTTTAGACCATGGGAGGGCAATGTGAACTTCACCTCAAGTACAGACATACACTTCCAGATCTGCAGACTTAGTTCCCTTCTCTAAGTGAGGAAAAATTCCTAATCTGTCAAATGGATGTGCCTAAGTAACTGCTGAGGGAGAGTAAATAGGTTAAGTAGGTCAGAGCGGAAGAGAAGGCAAAAATGAAGCGAACTAAAATGATGGGAAGAGACAGAAATTGTGTGCTTTAGTGTGAAAATTAAATGCAAACAAGAATGCTGGAGTTCATTACACCGACCTATACTATACACTAGACAGATACAAAGACAAATCCATCTCTACTTCTAATAAACACCCAGTCAGTATATAAGACACATCAACACAATGAGTCCAACTATAGTACACACCCTACTACATCTGACTCACTTGAATTCTGAGTATCTAGACTTGAAAGACTCTCCCATCCTGCTCTAGGTGTAAGGCAAGCAGCTCAGTTACCTAGAGTCATGGCAACATCAAACACTAAAGCTGAGAGCGTATTAAAGCTCTTCCAGTATAATCCCATCATTCTGAGATGAGGAGTTTATGTGTTTTGTCTGATACACACACCCAATTGGTGGCAGGACTGAAAGCAGAACCTGAGTGTCTGTAGTTCTGGCAAAATATCTATTAAATGCTTTTGCTAACTTAATGTGCGTGCATGCTAAGTTGCTTCAGTCATATCTGACTCTGTGATGCTATGAACTGTAGCCCACTAGGCTCCTCTGTCCATGGGATTCTCCAGGCAAGAATACTGGTGTGCACTGCCATGCCCTCCTCCAGGGGATCTTCCCAAGCCAGGGATCAAACCTGTGTCTCTCAAGTCTCCTGCATTGGCAGGTGAATTCTTTACCACCAGTGCCATGACTTCTTAAATCAAAAGGCATTTTTATTTTGAATTGAGATTTATTTTGAATTGCTTTAAAAGATTTTGTTAAAATGGAATATTACATGCTGAATAAAAATACACCCTAGTATGCAGCCTGGTCTTGGGTCTCCTAGGTCAAAAGGACCACAGATTGAGGTCACTCACCACTAGAGGGCACTCTAGTGGTTAACTTACAGAGGCTTCCAAATAGCCTGCAAATGAACTTGATCAACATGCCAATTTCTATCAAGAATAAAAGGTAAATGGCCATTTCCCCAAATATACTGACATACTGGTGCTGGACATAGGTTTCTAATCTGTGTGTGTGTGTCTGTGTGTATACACACACACAAATACAGGTATGTATATATGTGTGTGTGTATATGTATATATGGGCTTCCCTGGTGGCTTAGACGATAAAGAATCTACCTGCAATGGGGGAGACCTGAGTTCAGTCCCTGGGTGGGGAAGATCCCCTGGAAGATGGCATGGCAACCCACTCCAGTATTCTTTCCTGGAAAACCGCATGGACAGAGGAGCCTGGCGGGCTACAGTCTATGTAGAGTTGGACACAACTGAGTGACTAAGCACAGCACATGTGTATATATACATACACAACTGCTATAATTAATATATATTTATTATAATTAATGTTACTATTTTAGATTCAAGCCTAATGTTCTCTCAAAGAATTATTCTATTTATTGCTTTCAAGTGGTTAGCGGATTTCTTAAGTAAAAATTAAAAGACAACTACTCACACAGAGCTCGGTGGGCTCCTGCCAAAATCAGCAGTACTCTAAGCAAATCATGCTGCTCTTGGGCCCCTTGGATACTTTGATTTAAAAGGGAGAAGAGAAGAAAAGGAGAACTTCCTCTGCTATAAAAGGAAATGAACACAAGCCAGGCAATTTCTTTAACCTTCCAGTTTATCATTCCTGGAAGCCTTCTTGATCATGTGGGGAATTTCTGGAGATTTATACCTGGAGCCATGAAAATCCATTCTCTGTAGGAGGACCAATCCCTTTCTGGCTGTTTTATTTGAATTCTGAAAAAGTCTATTCTATATATGTAAGTTAGATTAATATATAACAGTGATCATTAAATACCATCACTGCATTGCCCTGTATGAAAAATACAAGAATTGTTGTGAAAAAGGGTAGAGAGTTTCTGCAAATCACCCATACCTCTATGTCTTGTCAGAGCTATTGATGGTGAGCCTTCCGGATACTGGATTCCCAGCGCTTGGCACTTACCTGATTGGGACTAGCCTGTCCTTTGCCAACTAGTGTGGAAAACTTGGCTCACAGCACTGAAAAAGGATACATCTAGTTCACTCTGGAAAAGAGAAAAGAGTCCAAGGATGAGAAAGAGACACCGGGACACAATGCAGAGACCTGTCACTTAGCAGAGACAGCGCCTGCTCTGGCCGCCAGCCTGGAAGCAGCGGGGAGAGGCTGCTCTATAAGCAGGAGCTGGAGCATGTGGAGGCCCTGAGTTTGGGATGGTGATTTGAAAAAATAAATAGGCTGCCGTTTGGAGGACATTTATAGGCCAGAACAATTCACTTTTAGAGTGTAGAGGGAATAAACTAATTCAACCTTTATAGAACATAGATAATTTGATATGTATATCAAAAAATGTAATAATGTGTACACCAGTTTGAATCCATCAGTCTTACTTCTAGAAGTTTATCCTAAGGAAACAATTAGATAATGGCACCGTGACGTGTGCTAGGATATTCAGGGTAATGTTATTTATTGTAGCAAATTACTGAAAACAAGCTAGGTGTCTATCAAAGGAAGGACTAGTTAATAAATTATGGCAAATCCACAAATGATGACACAGATACATAAATCCTGCCTCTTTTGAAGCTAACTGGGCTGGCTCTGTAGTGAAACGTGATGCTAAGATGCTTCTTTCAACCCAGACAGCATGAGACTGATCTCCAAATTTAAGATCTGGAAACTCCGAAGATTAAAAATAGACCAAGAAAGAAAGTTTAAAACTCACAAACCTAAAAATAAATCTTAGATGACAAGGCATTCTCCAGGAGTGGGATGGATTTTCTTTTATTTCCCATGGTACTCTTCTCTCTCCTCCTCTTCTTTTTGCTACTGTCATCCTAAACCAGGTCATCCCTTAGTACTATCCAAGTCCTGTATAATCAACTGGCTTAAATTAAATTCTAATCTTCACTTCTGTGGTTTATGTGGTCACTGACTCTCTCCCAAAAATAACAGCTATCATTCAGCAACCTGCTATTTATTCTCAGTTACTGAATATCATAATTTTACAAACCTTAGCAATGATAGTGCTTGGACCCACTCTTCATTCTCCCAGGTTTAAAACATTGCTATTTTGGGAAATTATATTCTACTTGATAGGTGTTCTCTTAAAGTGGCTAACCATGGCCAGCTCTGAATCACAGACCCTGACTTGGAACCAGTCTGTCTTAACAGAGTGGTCGTCAAGAGATAAGCATCTCTTTCAGCTCTGGAGGGCACCAATGCCTTCCTAGCTGGATGCACCACCATGTCACAGGCCACTCAGCCGCTTCCCAGCTCCAGTTGTTGAATTAGGAATTGGCTGACAGCAAGCCTCATGCATTAGGACAGTGGCTCTCAAACTGAAGCAGGCATCAGAATCACCTGGAAGGCTTGTTAAAACACAATTTGCAGCACCTCAACCCAGACTGATTCAATAGTTTGGGGTAGGCCAAGAGTTTATCTTTCTAACAAATTCCCACGTAATACTTATGTTACTGGTCTAGGAACCATACTTTTCAAACTGAAAACAAACTGCATGAAGGCAATGAAAACTGGCTAGTTGACTGTCCCACAAAGAAGGAGTTTGCCAAACTTTACTTCTGGCATTAGGAGTTAGGCTGAAGATACAACTTTCAACATGAGTTTTGCCCTAGAATGAACTCAAGATTACTAATTATGGAGCAGATTCCACTCACTGCCTCAAGAGGAAGCAGCTTGGAAACAGTTCCTTCCTAATCTCTTTATTTAAGAGCAAAATGAAATAAACAAAACAAGTTTGAAAAATAAGCCTGTGTCACTACTGCTTCTTTAAAATGTCTAATCAAGTCTCAGGAAAGCCTACAGTAGCAGAATAAAACATCTTCACTGATTCTTTTTTAAAAGACTGTTGGATTATAAACTAACCACAAAGCTAAAGTCATCAAGATATAGTGGTACTGGCAGAAGGATAAACATACATATCTGTATGCAGAAAGACATACAGAAGACCAGACCTGAAAATCCAGAAATAAAGGCTGTTACATTTATGGTCAAGTGATTTTTTTGACAAGGGTGCCAACACAATTAAATGGGGGTGGGGCAGGGAGAATAGTCTTCTCAACAAATGGCACATGGACAACTAGATATAACATGAAGTGAGACCCCCTACTTCAAACCATATACAAAAATTACTCAAAATGGCTCAAAGACCTAAAAGCAGGAGCTAAAACTATTATATAAATGAAACAAATATAACACTGAAATCAATAAGGTCTGAGTTGGGAAAAAAAGAAAAGAACACGTAAAGAGTAAATCTTTATGACCTTAGATTAGGCAAAAGCCTTTTTAGACATGACACCAAAACATAAGCAGCAGAATAATTTAAACTCTTCAAAATTAAGAACTATTGTGTTTCAAAAGACAGCATCAAGAAAGTGAAAAGAAAACCACTGAATGGAGACAGCATTTTCAAGTCACGTCTGATAAGAGATTTATACTCAGACTACATCAAGAACTTTTACAACTCAACAATAAAAAAGACAAATAATGAAATTCAAAAATGGGCAAAGGGTGTGAACATTTCTCCAAAGAAGATATACAGATGGCCAATAAACACATGAAAAGATGCTCAACACTGTTATCCATTAGCGAAAAGCAAATAAAACTCACAACTTATTTATACCATTTCATACCCACTGGGATGGCTATAATCAAAAACACAGATAATAACAAGGTTTGGTGAGGATATGGAGAATTAGAACTCTCATATACTGCTGGTGAGAATTTAAATCATGGAGCCATTTTTGAAAACAGTTTGGCAGTTCATCAAAATGATAAACATAGCATTACCATATCACCCCCCCCAATTCTACTCCTAGGTGTATACCCAAGAGAACTGAAAACATGATTCCACACAAGAATGTGTATACAAGCGTTCATAGTGGTATTACTCATAATAGACAAAAAGTATAAATAACCCAAATGTCCATCAACTGAAGAATGAATTAACAAAATATTGTATATCCACAGAATAGAATATTATTCAGCAATAAAAAGAAAAGGAGTACTGACAGACACTACAATGTGACCAATGTCTTGAAAACATTATGCTAAGGTAAAAAATTCAGTCACAAAAGACCACATATTATTGAACTTTATATAATTCTATTTATATAAAATGTCTAGAACAGGCAAACCTATAGAGACAGAAACTAGATTAGAGATTATCTTGGAGCAAGTGGAGTAGATAAGTGGGAGAGAAATGCTAATGAGTACGGTGTTTCTTTTTGGGATGGTGAAATATTTTTAAACTTTGTGGTCATGGTTTCACAACTCTTGAGTACATACTAAAAACTACATACTTTAAATGGGAATTGTATGTCAGTAAGTTACATTTCAGTACAACTGTTAAAATAAAGGACTGTTGGAAAGGAACTCATGTCTTCCTTAAGGGGAGTTGGTTCTGATCCTCACAGCAAGGGTTTGCATGGAAATGAATCTTAAACTAAAAGGGTCTTGGCGTCCTAGGAGGGGAAGCAGAAGAAAGAAGAAGGGATCGATTTATATAGCAAAATATCTTAACTGAGAAAAAGACACAAGAGGTTCTTAGTCTTATAGAACTGGCTCTGTGCAGAGATCTAGACATAGCATAGTTTCGAACACTGTGGATGAGCCAGAAGGAAAGGTAAAGAAAATCTGGCATTATTTGATTTTTAACTTTTAAATATTAAAGCTCTATATTAACACATGTTTTTTTTATATAGACCTATTTCTTGAAAATTGGGCGAAGGATGACTTTTTAAGTCATGAGACTTACCACTCGGCTGAAGTAGTCATCTAAAACTTCCACAAAGTTATGGATGAATTCATAAATTGCCATCTCGTTCTGAAATAAAAAAAGAATGGTGTAAATAGTTTCAGTGTGACATATGGGGAAATCAGACATGGAGCTGCCCCGTCAGCAGCCAGGTTTTAGAGCATTTGGCTTGGTAAGCAGATAACGTGAGCAAAGTAGCTTCCTATTGACAAATATTCAGAATAATTCTAGGACTTATTTGTTTAAAGGAAGCTTATCAACAGGAGAAATGTAGAAAACCTTAACCTCTAAGGTTTTTTGAAAAGTTCGTGATGAATCTAGCTGAACTGAAACTAAGATTGAGTCTAGTGATTAGAGTTTTGAGGTTTACTCCCCGACTTCATGACCAACGGCTAAAGCCAGTTGTTTTTTTTCCTTCAGGGTCTTTGTGTTGTCACTTTTCTATCTGTAGAAGATGGGGAAACTGTTTCAAAGTTTGGTGCATGGGTGAAAAACAATCAACTGAGATTTCAAAGTATTTTAGATCTTAAACACCCTTTTCAGGGATGCCATGGCCAAAGGGGCTATTGATCTGAGACTGACATTTCTGAAAAGGTGAACTGTGTCTGATGAGACGTAATCACAGCACATTCACATCCACAGTTCGCTCTGGCTTCTGTCAAGTCAGCCGAGGTTTAACACCACAACTGTCTGGTCTCTACCCTTGGCTTAGGGCCCCCCCCCCGTGCCACACAGAACGAGGGCAGGAAACTGGCATTGCTTAGGGTCAAGGAAGGCATTCTGTGGTCTCAAGCTTCTTCACAAGCTGCTCATCTAATCCAAGAAAAATCCTAGTTTATCTCTTCCACATAGCTTTCCCCAGCCTTGACAAAAACCCAATACCCTTAAAACAAAACACAAACAAACAAAACAATATCCTTCCAGAGTCAAGATAATGTTCGTGGAGGTAAGTGGGGAAGAAAATGTCCATTTACAGAGGAATAAAAAGCAGACTGTTATTCCTAATTTTCTTATATTTTCCATAAGCTCTTCTATTATCTTACCTCTGTGTCATTAACTCCAACCACAATGAAGAGAGCTGCGTACTGCCGGTATATCAGCTTAAAGTCCTTATATTCAATGAAAGAGCACTAGATAAAACACAATTAGATATTAATTCCTAAGGCTGGCAGGGATTTCTTCAAAATGGAATGCATAATTCTAGGTTCTGATCTGAGTATCTGTCTACACATTCCTAGAAATATACAACACTAAGATGTTACACAGGGCTTCCCAGGTGGCGCCAGTGGTAAAGAACCCGCCTGCTAATGCAAGAGACATAAGTGACAAGAGTTAGGTCCCTGGGTTGGAAATATCCCGTGGAGGAGGGCATGGCAACCCATTCCAGGAATCTTGTCTGGATAATCTCCATGGACAGAGAAGCCTAATGGCCTACAGTCCGTGGGGTCGCAAAGAGTCAGAACATGGCTGAGCGGCTAAGCGCAGCACAGCACAGGCTCTTTTTAAAAGTTATTTAAAGATGGTTTTTATGTGACAAATACTAGATAAAAATCATCCATTGTAAATAGTGCTTTATAAGAATTAATAAATAGCTTACCACTATTGACTAGTGGAGAAAACAACTCACTTCCCATTCATCTCTCCCCTAATGCCATTATATAAAAAGGGAGAGGAAGACCCTGGGTGGATAGGACTTCAATCAGCAGGATGAAGATACAGTGTTGCCCTTCCTTTAGACTTTTGGGTTTGCTTGACCAAATATGATTAAGAACTGTATCACTTTTTGCACTGGGATAAATTGCTCTATGACATTCAGATATACCTGGGAATGAAGCTTCAAGGTTTTTTTTTGACCCCACTGTGTGGCATGCAGGATCTCAGCTCCCTGACCATGGATCAAAACCATGGGCATGGCAGTAAAAGGGAAGAGTCCAACCACTGCTGCTGCTGCTAAGTCATGTCAGTCGTATCCAACTCTGTGCGACCCCATAGATGGCAGCCTACCAGGCTCCACGGTCCCTGGGATTCTCCAGGCAAGAACACTAGAGTGGGTTGCCATTTCCTTCTCCAATGCATGAAAGTGAAAAGTAAAAGTGAAGTCGCTCAGTCATGTCTGACTCAGCAACCCGAGGGACTGCAGCCTACCAGGCTCCTCCGTCCATGGGATTTTCCAGGCAAGAGTAATGGAGTGGGGTGCCATTGCCTTCTCTGCCTAACCACTGCACCGCCAGGGAATTCCTGAAGCTGCAAGCTTTGATTATGGCATTTTTTCCATGGGAAGCCATTCGACAATCTATTTAATGGAAGGGTTTGAGGTTTTTATTTGAAATTAGGATAAAAACCATTAAATCCAGGACCATTCTACAGCTTTAGGTTCACTGCAAAGCCAGTATAATTTCTGCTCAGTCAGATCTTTCAAGGAATCACTTCCTATTTGAAAGAACTGAGGAACATTTTTCAAAGCCTCTCAGGAGTTTCCTACATTCAAAAAAAAGTATCAAAGTACCTTTGTGGATAAAATAAAAATGTAGCTGAGACTGTGTTACTTTGGGGTTCCCTCTAGGATCTAAGATAATTTAGAATGCTTCAAAAATATCTAACAGTATACTCATTCCAAAGCATATATTTCAGAGGGTAACCTATCAGTGAAAATGATGTTTGAAATTGTGGAGTGCCTGCATTCTATAGAAAGATTCAAACAGAAATGCTTCTGCAGTCTGTTTACCCTTACTTAAAGTCTATGGCTATTAATACAGTTCTTTAATAGTTTCAGTTTCCTTTTGACAACTACATAAAGCAGTATGTGCCATGGCAGGGCAAAGCAGTAATTCAAAGAGGACTCTGAGATGTTCCGACTGGAAAATCAATTTATATGCCAAGGGAAACACAGTGTCGATGCGTCACTTCTGAGCACTGATGTACCTTAATATTTTATGACTTACCAGTGGTTCCTACAAGCAGCCTTTCTACATAGTCAGTGAAATGGAGAAATGGCAAATTAATGGGTGATTTATATAGGCTTTCTGATTTTGCCTTAGTTTGCTCCATGATTGCCAAAAGATTCCAAGTTTAGGGGCTGGACTAAGTAATTCTCCAATTAAAATCCCTTGTAAAAGTAGGCTCAGTTTTTTAAATTCCCATTTAGTATTATTTTAATGATTCAACTTAAACTCAATTTTGGCAGAATGGATCGATTAGTTGTTTCACATGCACTTGCTAACTTTCATTTCCCTCATCTATATAATAAGACAAGTTCAAATCAAGTTTGTTTTGTTTTTAAATTACTTGTTCCAGTTTTATGTTGGTGGTAAATTTATAAAAATAATAAGCAGAATAAAAAACACCCTATTCCACATGAGAATCATATTATTATCTTCTGGCACAAAGTGGGTCTTGAATGTCTCCCTCTATCCTGGTCATTTGACCTCATCTTTTGGCTTAAAGAAAGCCATCTGCTACAGGCACTCCTGAGAGTTCCAAGGGCTCAGTTCTCACGAACAAAAAAAGGAGGTATGTTTATTAGCAGGAGTAAATTTGCCACTTCCATAGTGCAATGAGACAAATGTGCTGACCTAAATACGAACTCAAGACTTTCCCTGGTTTTCTTTGCTTTTATTTTCCTTAAGGGGATGTAAAGAGAGCTGTGCGCCAGTCTTCATTTCACTTCATTTGTTATTTTCTCTAATAGCTATTGAAAGAATGGGGTTCAAAGAAAACGATGGCCCTTGAGACTCAGTAATAACAAGTCTGCCACACTAAGTTGGATGCAGAGATGAAAGAGAGAATCAGACTTACCTGTTCATTGGATCGAGAGAGACAGCTCTTTATGACTTCTGTTTCCAGAAGCGTACGCTTATTAATCTCCACATGTTCATAGTACTTAGAAAGTCGGGTCTGCCCTTGTTTATTCACCATGAGGAAAAATTTTATCATTTTTTTTTTCCTCTGGCCACTGTTTTTCCAAGTATAATTCAAAAGATATGGCAAGGGGTGGCTGTAACCAGAACCTGAAGAACAAAAAGAACAACAGAAAGACAAGATCAAATTTCTCAAGAATCATAATAAATGTGTTCCAGAGATAAACCAGAAGTAAAATGTCTTCTGATAACATTGGTCTTCCCTCCTGTGAACTAAATGAGGTTTTAATAAATAAAGATAAATTTTCACTAGTTATCCTCCAAAAACATTATTGAGTATCCACAGGGCTTCTACTCATATTCATTCCATTGTTTCATCAATCTTCTTGGGTGCCAACTACGTGTCAAGCACCAGAAAGAGATTATGGAGATGAAGAAGTAATGATTTCTGATCTTCCGATCATGACACCTAGCAAAGGTGCTGGGCAGGTAGGTAAGTAACAGCATTACAAAGTGGTAAGTTTTACTGGGATGGGCAAACTTCTGTGGTGCACAAAAGGGAGGTGCAGGAAACCTCACCGGAGAGTTGGGAACGGCTTCCCAGAGGAGAGGCATTTAAGCAAGACATTGAAGAATGACCCAGAGGGAGTGACTCTGAGGCACAGAAATTAGGGGAATGAAAGCTCTGGGAAAGCTCACCTTGGTTGCAGGTCAAGGGGCAGAAAGAATGGTCATAGGAAGCTGATCTGCTCACATAAGACAAAATTTGCTTTAGAAGTGATGCTAAGGAATATGAACTTTACTCTATGGACAGTGGAGACAGGATCTGTACTGAAGTTCTTTCGTTAGTGCTGGGAGCCACAGTAACATCAATTATTTGTTTAAGTCCTCAAACAAGACCCTATAAGGTCCGGTACTGAGCAGTTTACATACATTATTTAGTTCTCACAATTTTCTGCAGCAGGGACTTCTGTTATTCCCATTTCAAGGACAAGCAAATTGAGTTCTATGGATGTTATGGTGCCCAGCGTCCCTGGATGCCTGCGTATCAGGGATGAGACACAGCTCAGAGGACAAGAGAGACCCCTAACACTCCTACTCCTAGGGGTTCACGCTCACGGTTTTATTTCCAACTTAGCTGTATTGTAGCTCATGTTTATTATTCTTATACTTAGTTAGCTTTCCAAATAATCAGTGCAGAAGCACACAATATTGACCAATGGCCAGTTCTTTCATCATGAGCATCAGAGCTGTCTCATCTAAAACCAATCCTATAGTATCATATTCACATTTTGCAATATCTTTGAAAATCAGTGCAAAATACTAAGGTTAAGCATAGTTAGTACTTAAGTGAAATTTTAAAAGTTGGAATAATTTTACAGAAGAGTTGCAACAGATTATAATACTTGAACTAAGGTTTATATTATATTTCTGCCCTCCCAGCTCATCTCTCGTATCCTAAACCCTGTCACACAGGTGGTTATCTCAAAACAATTCCAAACATTAAGAACGGGTTAGAACTGGATCCAGGCTGGCAAAGCTTGGGGCTGCTGCATTCACGAGGAACAGGATGCCATCTAGACCAGCTCAGCTGGGGACTTGACAGCAGGGCCATGGGGGAGGCCTGCGGTCATTCACTCTCTTTTCCAGGAAGATAAACTCACTACTGTAGGTGGGATTGCAACATCCTCTGTGTTATTTAATCATCTGGCAGTAAGTGCTGCTTTTATTCTCCTTACAAATGACTGCCAGTAAATTATGGCAGATGACTAATAAATTAAGATTACCATCCTTTCTTTTACTCCCTTTCAGCAAAGTTATTTTAAAACCATCTTTACGAAAGTTAGAAATATACCCTGGATTCCAACTGCCGGGTAAATGACAAAAAAAAAAAAAAAAATGTCTCAAAGGTACTCCTGACCCAACCTTCGCCTTTAAATGCCCTAGCTGCATTAAGTGGTAAAATGAGATGTAAAATGACCCCACTAAGATGCTACACCAAGGGATCAAATTGGTTTCTACCTTGTAAGCACAGCATTCCTTCCCACTGACTTCAAGAGGAAGGATGACAAACAAGGACGCGCTGAACTGATACTCATTAAAAGGCAAGTTTTGAAAATAGTAGCCGAAGGCATCTAAAGACTTGAATGCATCATCTTTTTTTTTTTGCATGCTCATAAACAATTACACAATTTATAACTGTAGGATAACACAGTGGTAATAAAGTGGACAAGCAAAACTGTAAACTATTTGTACTATAAAATATACAACACCAAAATAAACATTGCAGAGACTTGGAGACAGGTACATGTTTGAGAACTGAAGATGAATGACTTAAGCACCTATCCTGGTTACTAATTATAAGGGAGGAGGGAGATTAAATAACTATGAAACCAGGGTAGGGCAATAAGAAGGAATATGCTTAGACAAGTGTTGGGAGTGGTCAGGGAGCAGGTATGAACTTCCTCCCTTAATAAACTTTGCATTCAACAACACACAGGCTGGGGAAGATGTTCTGACTGCCAAGAAGTTATAAGATTCTACACCCAGGAACTTGTGTGAATATACATGAAAAATCAAGGAAGAATAAAGAAAGGAAACTTTACTGGGAAAGACATTATACAGAGGGTGCTAGGATGCCTACAGGCCAAGGTTAGGGGAGGTTGGTAGAGTCACAGCAGAATACGAGCCCCCTACATGATGTAAACTTAATGCTTAGAAGAGAGACTGGAAAGATGGAAGTAAATATTGAATTGAGCACAGTTTTTTATATTTCTGATGATATATTTCTGGGAGTTAGAACTGGAAGAATCTTTATAGTTGTCATATCCAAAGATGATAAACATATTTCAACTTGGGTGCCAACTGTGATTAACTATACTAAGTGCTTTGAGCACTGTGTTGGGAAGGATTCTGAAGCTGTTTTCAGGTTCTGAGCAAAACGATGTCATGAATAATTACTAATGTCAGCTGTGGGTTAGGAAGCAGGGTGTGGCAACATACGTACCTTGTATCTGTCATCTCTGATGTGCACTCCCTTATGGGAAAACCAGTAACCTGAGATGTAGAGTAAAGTCCTGAATTCTGCTCTCTTGACTCATAATATAATGCTGCCTTTAATTTATCACGTTGCCTCTGCCTCACTCGGTGTATTAGTGTCATTCAATGTTCATTTAAGCTTAATAAGCATCAACTTCAGGTAGCTGTGGGAATGATCAACTCAACATTATCTTTTCTAAAGCTGCTTTGGAAAATACCAAACAATTCACTACTTAAAATGGCAGAGCAGGAAGTTTCTAGAAACAAAGATGATATTGGATGATGGCTCTCCTGGAGAAGGAAACGGCAACCATTCCAGTATTCTTGCCTGGAGAACCCCATGGAAAGAGGAGGTTGGCATGCTACAGCCCATGGGGTTGCAAAGAGTCAGACATGAAACTTCACAACTGAACAACATCCTTTTGAGCTCTAAATGCTTTCTATGTACCTCAGAACCACAATATTGTAAAACACACACACACACACACACACACACTCAGGTAATATCAGACAAATACTTTTTTTCTGGCCCCATGAAACTGACTGAAATACAATCTCCCAAGTTAAAAAGCCAATTTCCACCAAAAAAAATTATATAGTATTCATAGAATGTAATAGTCAGAAGTATGAACTAACTAGACAGAACTTGACTGGCTCTACTACTTATTAGCCTTGTGATTCTGGGCAAATTACTTAATTTTCCTGTACTCAGTCTGAAGTACAATGGGAATAATATTAGTACTATTAGACCTTCTAGGCTGTGAGCAGTAGTTAGTATATGTAACATTCTTGGAACAGTGTTTGGCAGTTGGCATCAAGTAAGTGCTACGTAAGTGTTGGCCCACATCATTATGATAATATATCACCTTTTCCTGAGACAAGCCTTCCTGGCTAGCCCAATCTCTAATTTCTAATTTCAAAATGTTGGCTATCTTTTCTTTTAAACCATCACTGCATTTTACAAAATCTGTCACCCTAAATTATCACTATTCAAATACATTCTGAGTTCCCCTACCAGACCAATGAGTTTCATTTTCTTGTGATGTATTTTACATTGTGACATATTTTACATATATGGGTACATACATATCTGAGCAGAAGTTCATAAAACAATACTTACACTTTGTGGACTGTACTCTAGTATCTTCTATGACATTTCATTGTGTAAAAAAAATGTAGTGGGGAGCTTGGATTACATAGACGTGGATTTTCTTCAAAACTCACCAAATGTAAAGCTTTACCCTTTTATTATATGCAAATTTTACATAAAAAGAAACTAATACTCTAGTTAATGATACATATGGTGAAGTATTTGGGGGAAATGTACTGATGTCTATAATTTACTTTGTTTTATTTGAGGGGGGCATGCTGTGTGGCTTGAGGGATCTCAGTTCCCTGACCAGGGATTGAACCCAGGGCCACTGCAGAGAAAGCCCACAATCCTAACCATGAGGCCAACAGGAAACTCCTTATAATTTACACCAAAAAACTAAGATAAATTAATGGATGGTTAGATAGATGGGGCAGACAGTTAAGTGTATGATAAAGTAAGTACAGTCAGCCCTCTAGATCTGTGGGTTCTGTATACACATATTCAACCAACCACAGATTGAAAATATTTGGGAAAAAAATTCCAGTAAGTTACAAAAAGCAAAACTTGAATATTCTGTGCAATGGCAACTATTTATGTAGCATTTACATTGTACCAGGTATTATAAGTAATTTAGAGTTATTTCTAGATTACTTTAAATTATTTTAAAGTATACGAAGGATGTGTGTAGGTTATATGCAAACATGACACCATTTTATATAAGGAACTTGAGCATTCAGATTTTGGTATGTGTGGGAGCTCTGGAACCAATCCCCTGTAGATACTGAGGGATGGATGAAATTGTAAAAGATTAATGGTAGAGTGGAGTGGCAAGGATATGAGAAATCACTGTGAAATTCTTTTCAACTTTGTAGTATATTTGAAAATCGTCATAACAAAATATTGAGGAAAAAATGCAAGCTGTGACCCACTGATGTCTTTCAATT